GATACCGATACTAAGGAAAATATTCGATACTCAATACCATTTTCGATACCACAAGGATAAAATTTCAACAGAAATATTTTGATTAATAATTAAAATACAATAAATAAATAAATAAATACAATAAACAATAAGAACAACATTTTGAGGTTGTTTTCTGTGCACAGTATTTAGCAAGCTTGATAAAAAACTTACAAAATTAAAATTAAGTTTTCCTTACTTGGCTATGCTTTGCACACATAACAATGACGCTAGCCAAACCGGTTAAGAAAGAAAAATAATTCTCAGCAGCTGCAACTGTTACAAAAAAAGTCTGAAACTGAAAAGTGCACAGAATTATTCAATCAACGTGGGCTACATTAATAATTGGCAATCCTTTTGGGGAAAGCCTGGTCGGATTCGGAGAGACGGCATCCATCCCTCTTTGGATGGTGCAGCTCTTCTTTCTAGGAATCTGGCCACATTTATTAGTCCTCCAAAACCCTGACCACCCAGGGTGCAGACCAGGAAGCAGAGTTGTAGTTTAACACACATCTCTGCAGCTTCTCTACTGTTACCCACTCTTTACTCCATCCAGACAGTGTCTTGCCCACGACCAACATCTAATAAATTAGCAAAGATTCCCAAAGGAGTAAATCATGATAATCTAATTAAAATCAAAATAACTCCAATTGGGGAAAAAGTTAAAACAATTAAATGCGGTCTGTTTAACATAAGATCGCTTTCCTCTAAAAGTCTATTAGTTAATGACTTGATTTGTGATAATCACATTGACTTGTTTTGCCTTACAGAAACCTGGCTGCAGCAAGAGGATTATGTGAGCATAAATGAGGCAACTCCTTCAAGCTATTTAAATTTTCACATACCCAGAAGTTCTGGGCGAGGAGGAGGAGTAGCAACAATCTTCCAGTCTGACTTACTGATTACTCCCAAAACAATTAATACCTACAACTCTTTTGAACATTTAACCCTTAATTTCCCTGATCCAAATTTCAAGGCAAGAAAACCTCTTCTTTTTGTAACTTTGTATCGTCCACCAGGTCCTTACTCTGAATTTTTAGATGAGTTTTCAGAGTTCCTTTCTGATTTGGTATTAAATACTGACAGGGTCATCATAGTGGGAGATTTTAACATCCATGCTGACATTGAAGGCAATAGCTTAAGAGCAGCCTTTAATGCTATCTTAGACACTATTGGCTTTGTTCAGAGTGTGAGTGGTCCCACGCATTATCATCTTCATACTTTGGATCTTGTGCTGATATACGGCATAGAATGTGAAGAAATAACAGTATTTCCTCACAACCCTGTCCTCTCTGACCACTTTCTAATAACCTTCAGGATTACTTTAACAGAGTTCTCCTCCCCCAAAAGAAGGTTCAATTGTAGTAGATCTTTATCAGATAGTGCAGTTATAAATTTTAAAGAATCTGCTTCACCTTCTCTCTCCTCTGTGTCGCTGAACAGTGCTGCAGAGTGCAAAAGCTTAGCTTATTCCCCTTCACAGGTTGATGATTTTGTTGATGGGGTTGCTAGTTCTCTGCGTATTGCCTTAGACAACGCAGCTCCTTTGAAAATGAAAACCGTTAAAAATAGAAAGCTTGCTCCTTGGTTTAATGCAGAGCTGCGTACTTTGAAGCAAAATGCTAGGAAACTGGAGAGAAAATATCGCTCCACAGGCCTGCGAGAGTCCTTCCTAGTCTGGAAAAATGGTTTACTGCTGTATAAAAGGACCCTTTGTAAAGCAAGAGCAGCATACTTCTCCTCATTAATAGAGGAGAATAAGAATAATCCTAGATTTCTTTTTAATACAGTTGCCAAACTCACCCAGAGCCATAGCTCTGTTGAACCGTCCATTCCACCTGCTCTTAGCAGCAATGATTTTATGGGATTCTTTATAAATAAGATTGATCTTATTAAAAATAAGATCATAAGCACTCCTCTATCCGTGATTGTACCTGAGGTAGTCATGGAATCTGAACCGGGTTTAGACTGCTTTGATCCAGTTGAACTTTCTGAATTAGCAAAATTATTGTCTTCATCTAAGCCTTCAACTTGTATGTTAGATCCAGTTCCAACCAGGTTATTTAAGGAGGTATTCCCTTTGATCTCCTCCTCCATTTTAGATGTGATTAATCTATCTCTGTTACAGGGATATGTACCTAAAGCTTTTAAGGTTGCTGTAATTAAACCTCTGCTTAAGAAACCGTCTCTTGACCCAGATGACTTGGTCAATTATAGACCTATATCCAATCTTCCTTTCTTATCCAAAATTCTTGAGAAAGTAGTTGCCAAACAAGTGTGCGGTCACTTACACCATAATGAACTTTTTGAAGAGTTTCAGTCTGGCTTTAGAGCTCATCATAGCACTGAAACAGCTCTGGTGAAAGTCACTAATGATATTCTCATGGCCTCAGATAATGGACTTGTATCTGTGCTCGTCCTGTTGGATCTTAGTGCTGCATTTGATACAGTTGACCATAATATTCTTTTAGAAAGACTTGAATATTTTGTTGGAATTAAAGGAACAGCACTAGACTGGTTTAAATCTTATCTATCTGATCGAATTCAGTTTGTTCATGTTAATGATAGATCTTCAACACGCTCAAAGGTTACCTGTGGAGTACCACAGGGATCAGTGCTAGGACCAATTCTCTTTACTTTATACATGCTCCCAATTGGTAGAATTATTAGACAGCATGGGATTAATTTCCACTGTTATGCTGATGATACCCAGCTATATCTGTCTATAAATCCAGATGAAGCTAACCCATTACATAGATTACAGGCATGTCTTGAAGACATAAAAACCTGGATGACTCTTAACTTTCTGCTTCTGAATGCAGACAAAACAGAAGTTATAGTCTTTGGACCAGAGTCTCTGAAAAAGAAACTGATTAGCCAGTCACTTCATTTGGATGGGATTAAACTGATTTCAGATAATAAAGTAAAAAATCTTGGTGTTATTTTTGATCAGGACCTGTCATTTAAATCCCATATCAAAGAGGTTTCTAGAATTTCCTTCTTTCATCTGAGGAACATTGCAAAAATTAGAAATATCCTGTCCAGGGGTGATGCTGAGAAACTAGTCCATGCATTTGTTACTTCAAGGCTGGACTATTGTAATTCTTTACTATCAGGAAGTCCACAAACTGTAGTTAAAAGCCTTCAGCTGATCCAAAATGCTGCAGCAAGAGTTCTAATGAAAATTAAAAAGAGAGATCATATCTCGCCTATCCTGGCTTCTCTTCATTAGCTTCCTGTTAAATCAAGAATAGAATTTAAAATCCTCCTCACATATAAAGCCTTAAATGGCCAAGCTCCATCTTATATCAGAGATCTGATTGTTCCTTATGTTCCTAACAGAGCACTTCGCTCTCAATCTGCAGGTTTACTAGTGGTTCCTAGAATTTCTAAAAGTAGAATGGGAGGCAGATCTTTTAGTTATCAGGCTCCTCTCCTGTGGAACCAACTACCAGTTTTAGTCCGTGAGGCAGACACTCTGTCTACTTTTAAGACTAGGCTTAAAACTTTCCTTTTTGATAAAGCTTATAGTTAGGGTGGCTCAGGTTATCCTGAGCTATCTCTATAGTTATGCTGCTATAGGCTTAGACTTTTGGAGGACATAGGGACCCCCATTTCATCATTCTGCTTCATTCTCTCTCTGTTCTCCTATTCTGCAGAATCTGTTAGCACAATCTCTAACCTTCTGCTCTCTCTGCTTTTCCTCAGAGTAGCTTTGCCTCGTCTGTTCCTGTTTGGCTGTGACGTCATCCTGGAAAGAAACATCAGCTGTGCTGCTTCTATCAACACCCTTGTTTATAGATGTTGGAGATCGGCCTGTTTTCCAGTGTGGTCCTGTGTCTCTGACCATGACTGAGTGGATGTGCTCTCTTCGTCCTCTGGCATGGGAGCTGCCTTGGAGCTCGTCTGCCTGGCTGTGTGTTTCCTGGACGGGGCCGCCTTTTACAGCTGCTTTTTGTATCTCTGCTTCTGTCTCCTTGAACCCCAGTCGGCCTCGGCAGAATGCCGCTCACACTGAGCCTGGTTCTGCTGGAGGTTTCTTCCTGTTAAAAGGGAGTTTTTCCTCTCCACTGTCGCTACAAGCATGCTTAGTGTGGGGGATTGTATTTGAGTCAATGAGTCAATGCAATCAACTGGTTTTCCTTAGATAGAAAACTTTGTATCGATTTGACTGTATGATCTGGTTGAACTGTAAAGTGCCTTGAGATGACATGTGTTGTGAATTTGGCGCTATATAAATAAACTGAATTGAATTGAATTGAATCACACAGTGTTCTGAAAGTGCATTTTCCTGTATTCTGCACTTTAGATGAATGACTGTTTAGGTGCGACTGGTACTCGATACTTTTGAAAATGAGTATTGTATCCGGATACAACGTTTCAGTATCGATACTTTTTTGAGTATCGATACTTTTGACAACCCTAAACTGAGTGCCGTGTCACTCATTGTAGTCTAAAGTCTAGTTTAGCTAATCATATCAAAAGTACCAAACTGATCTCTGTACACCTAAACAAGTCATACCCAGCCTCATTCTGATCTTAAATCTGCAGCTCTGGGTATTTTACAATAATAGGGATTAAAAACTCAAGCTAGATTTTTGGAATGATAAGCTTTTAGGAGCTGCACTATGTAGATCTACAGATATAACCTACAGACTATTCTGTAGATTGTATCTTCTTCCAGAAATGTCAAATGTAATTGTTCAGAATCTCGTGTTTTGGCCCCTTTCTACTGCTGCACAAGTTGATGTTTTGAGAGCAGTATAAAAAAAAAGAAGAAAAAAGATATTATGAAAGGAGACTTGTGTCAGTTTAGATATCATGAGACGGTTTTCTCTCAGCAGTCACAGTCAGTAGTCTGTTACTGCTCTACTGTTCTCTATCTATGTATTAATTCTGTTTTTGTAAAAACATATAAATCTCTGCTCACCAAATTTATACTATTTCACCAATGACTTAATCTAATTGTTTTGTTCTTCCAGCCACCATTATTTTAAATGAGCTAAACTGGACAGATGCCCTGGATGATGTTTTCCGGAAAAACAAAGAGGAAGATGAGTCACTGCTATGGCAGGTATTTGGCTCTGCAACTGGACTGGCTCGGTATTACCCAGGTAAGCCCACTCAAGTCCAGACTGATGAATACAGACAAGCAGAATTTTTTTAATGATGGCTTTCTTCTTATATAAAAAAAATTAAAAAAAGGAGAAAAAAATGTTTGAATGCTGTTTATTATATTTCTTAAAGACATGGACAGTTCTAAACAAGAGCCAATAGGGTCCAAGGCCCCTGTAGAACTGATCCTGTCCCTTGTTGCTGCCCCTCAACAACTTTTTTCAATTATTTTAGTTGCCTATTTCACGGTAAAGATTTTGTTTTACTTTAGGTTGATAAAATAATAATTTACAAACATAAACAGTCATGAAAAGACTGCATCCCCAGCTATAGTATAGAGAGAAATAAGAATCCTTCAAAACTTCAAAATAAGAATTGCTTAAAAACTCAGATTGAAGGATTTGGTGTCTTTACAGTATTTTATCTGACTCCTCAATAAAAATCTATATGGGACCAAAAAAAGAAATGGCTGTGGTGACGATGGTGATGATAATAATAATAATAATAATAATAATAATAATAATAATAATAATAATAATAATTGTATGGAAATGGTTTGGCTTTATCCATATGCAAAAAGTGCAAGGCAGCTTGAAGGAATTAATTACAACTTGCTTGAAATTGTTCATCACTGACATGATATTGTCAGTTGTAAACTTTTTAGTCTAACATTTATATTGGCAATTCCTATGTGTCATGTAATAAACCAATATTGTATTAATAAAATAAAAAACACAGAATCTCGCAGTATAGTGAGTGTGTGGCCATATATTTCTTACCTCGTCAGACAGTGTAAGGCCAGTTTCCCAGGACGAGGCTATACTGTGGGGACTTACAGTATAGCCTTGTGTTTTATTGCAGCCGCTCGAGGGAAGGTCCTCTTCTTGGGTTGGTGGTTCAGTTTTGAATGAAGTTATGAATTGAGTTTAGGTTAGGGTTAGGAATATGTTGTTAAAGGGTAAGGTTCTGGGTTAAGTCATACAGTTAATGCAAAATGAATGTAAGTCAATGGAAATAGGGATGAGTGATGATGCATTTAATTTAGAACAAATCAGATCGATCTTTAAAAAAAATGGCCTAAGCTTAATGCAAAAGTTTTAATCCATTCATTATAATGAAGGACTGAAATGATAGAATTGCATTTTAAATGAACTTGTGTTAAATCCATTTTATTTTGGTTGAGCCCGAAGAACTTGACTGTGAAGTAAACACTTTACTCTGCCAACTTACAGCCTCCCCCTGGATCGACAAGAGAAGTGCGCCTGACAAGATTGACCTGTATGACGTACGCAGGCGACCTTGGTAAGCTCATCGGCCGAGTTATAGAAAGTCATGCAGATACGCACAAATGCTTGTTAGTTAAAAATAACGTTGTCTTTCATAATTCAGTGACATCAAATCTGTTTTCTAGTGGAGTCTAGTCTGAGAAGATTTAATACAGCTTTATGGCCCTGAGAATAAAATTTATTTTACGGTCTTTTTATGTGTGTTCTCCAATTTCTCTGTTTGTTTCTTGTATTACTCACCAGGTACATTCAGGGGGCGGCGTCACCCAAGGACATGCTGATCCTGGTAGATGCGTGAGTGACAACCTTATGATTCATATATTACAGTCAGATTGGATTTTCTGTGACACCCCAGGAGGCCCCGATGCTAACTCTGAGCAGCTTCATCCCGCTGGGCAGTGGGGCACTAAGCTCATGTGTGACACTGACTAACAAAAAGCAGCCAGAGCACTGGCCAGCCTCATTATTTGCAGTCCAGTCATTTCCTACAGTGATTTAAGGCTGGAACTTTGAGTTTATTATAACCTCAAGGTCCATGAAGGACTCCTAGAGCATTACAAGAGTTGATAGTTGTTCTTTCTAACTGGAGATCTAAGCATTATTTTAAAAACATGTTTGAATAAAAACATATACCGTATAAATTTGAATATAAATTTCATTTATAAAATGATTTACACAAAAATAACAACTCCCTCAGCTGTATACCAACTCCCTCAGATCATATATGGCAAAAAAAAAATTGCTGTATATGATCTGACTTATATCCAATCAGTTTTGTAAGGCATGGATGATTATGCAGGAATGGATGCACAAGTGGACCCATTTACCCTGGGCAATAAATGTGTACAAACTGATTAGTTGCAGCTTAAGTGGAAACGATTTAAAATCTACTTAAAAAGGAAGTCTGATCCCTGCAGTTCAGTCAGAAAAATTATTACGTATTTCGGTCTTGTTTCTGCTAATTATTTAAAATCTATTGGTCATCTTTTAGAAAATCAGTGACACTCCTACAGTTGTTTTAAGAAATAATTTTTCCAAAATGTGACTCATGTTCAAATATGTAAAAATGTACAATGTCACTCTGGGAAGAAGGAATATTTCCTTGCTGTTTAACAAGATAGGTGCACAAAAGCCTTGAAATTTTTTTTTCCTTATAGAGAAATTCTGAACCCAAATTGTCATAATTTCGGTCTTTTTCTACAGTAGCGACAATTGAAAAACGAAAAAAAATGACTCCTTCATATCACCTATTGTATGAGGAGACAAGATAAATTCACTGGGGTCATCGAACAATTTCATTTTCTTTGTAAATGTTACTAGTTATCTGACTACTGTACATTACTGACCTGCTGATTTCTTGCAGCTATTCTGTGTTGTAAAGATCAAGAAACCTGTGCATTATTCTACTTGCATATTTCTGTTTAATTTTGAAAGCAGTTAATAAATTACAGCAAATACTCCAGCTACATTTATAAAGTTGTTTATGCAAAATAATCCCAATTATTCTTTGTGTAAATTTGTTGGTGGTGCCCCAGGTTTTTGAGATTGCAACTGGGCTGTTTTTTAATAAATTTGTTAATTAGGAAATAAAGATTTTTATAAATTGTTAATTGCAGCCCTATTACTAACGATTATTTTGCAAATTGATTAATCTGTTTATTATATTTTTGATTAATTAACTAATGAACAGATAGCCGAAGATTGCTTAAAGAATACTTTTTGTGAAATTAAACCAGGTGAAACTTTTACCCTTGAGGAGCTGAGGATAGAACATATTGACAAGGATTTTTTTTTTTTATCTTAAATGCAAAATGTTTATTTATTTTTTTTACAAATTTTTTTACTAACAATTTTTTTTTTACAAAGTCTTTACTCCAGTTAATTGATTACTAAATTTGTTGACCATTATTTCAATAATATTTAATCATGATTAATCCATTTAATAATTTTAGCCCTAATATAAAAATTTTTAGACAGAAAAGATACTGTGATAATATTTTTTTATTAATTTATTTTATGGATTTTGTCAGAACACTGACAGTGTCTTTGATCTGTTTTGAAAATTATTGTATTGACATTGTAATTGTTGTGATGTCCAAATATTTTCTCACATTTGGATTTAGTTTTTCTAATCAATGAAATGATAGCAAATCACTTAGACTCCATGGCCAGACAATACCGTACAATTTACTTCTAAAATTAATTCAGTCTGTGTTAAAACTATAGGTAGAAATTCCAGTTGCACATATTCTGTGCTTTTAAATCAGTGCTTAATTGTAAATAGATGTTGCCAAATTGTAAACGTCAATATCTAAGAATTTAACCTTTGTCGATCCATCGATACAATTTCTATGCTGGAAATCTACCTGTATAGTTCTAGAGTTGAGTTCTGTACTTGCTTGAGAGTTTCGTTTACAAGCTTCTGTCTGTCTATAAAAAGAAATAATTTCTGTTTTGTTGGATGTTACTTTAGATTAAGTCAAACTTGCATGTGTTTCGGGCATCAACTTACATTTTTCTTTAACAATTTCTATACCACAGGAGTGGAAGTGTTTCTGGTCTCACCCTTAAACTGATCAAAACATCCGTCAGCAAGATGCTGGAGACCCTCTCTGATGATGACTTTGTAAACGTGGTTTCTGTGAGTATTCAGACAGCTGAGTCAATATAGTGATGGTATTTTTATTTCCCAGTTGCATGTTTTTATAAAAACATATGATCAAACACATTTAATTTAAGGAAAAAGGATTAGAGCATTTTTTAGCAAATATTTCAGTTTACCAGAAAGCTAAGCTTTCTAAACCTACCTGGTCTTATTTGAAAAAGTAATCACCAGTTAATAGAATCTGAATTCCTTTAATGGCAAAGATTATGTCCACAAGCAAGGAGCTTTACTTGGGTTTCATTGGTTCACAGAAAACAGACATCAAATATCTATATACACTTCAGAAGAAATAAAATGACTAAAATAAACATTATGTACATGCATGTGTATGTATAGCTGTTTCTTATGTAAAAAAAAAGAGAATAAAATGCAGGTTGTAGCATTGCAAACATGCTCTTTTTTACCGCAGAGTAGCTTTCTACTGCAGGGTGTTAATTGTGTTCATCAGAGCAAAAGCCTCAGGGAAGAAAATGTCTGTTCTTTTTTTTACATATAGCACTTTGTAGACCTTACCTTAAGGTTAAAGTGTGGACAAATTTGCTTACAGAATTTGTTGTATCTGCAGAGAATTTAGCAAGTCTTTCCTGACTGTACCCTGTACAGGCCTTGGATGGAGTGAAGGTCAGTCTGGATGATTCTCTTTGCAGGCCCAGTTGTTCATTGGAGTCTGTACCTGTTCTACTTTATGAACAAGGCAAACACAACAGGTATAGATGTAGGAACTCTTGTAAAATGGCCGTTCTGGGAGCTTATTCTTAAGTTGCTTTAAGAGTTACAGGGCGTTTCTCAATATGCGTTCTTGAGCGTTCTCGTGTGCTCGTGTACTCGTGACACGTCATCAGCCTCAGCCCGAGTACCGTTCCAATTCTCAAGAACGCCAGATCGAGAACGCATCAAATCCCCGAATGTTGTTCTCACCCCGCCCTCTTTATCAAGCATGCATCAGAGCAGACTTGTGCGTTCTTCAGACTGACCGCTTCCCCAGAATGCCCCGCGGCCGCAGCTTGATTCGAGACAGCGCTCACAGTGTTAAGTTAAACATTCCCTTTTCTGCTGCTGTTGTTCTTCAAAAGTACGTTTTGAAATCGTTTGAGGCGATAACATTATACATTTAAGCCTCCCTGTGTGGCCTGTTTACAGAGTTAGTGCGGAATTTAAAAAAAAAGTCAGACGTTGAGCGGACCATAGTGACCAGCAGACCTCCGAGGGTAACCGCAGCCAGGGCTAATGTTACCCCGTCTGTAGTGCACTTCTCTCGGTCTAGTTATGTGTGAACTACCGCTCGTTCTGATGGCGTTTTTTTGCGGTTCAGTAATTTTTTTTTTATGTTTTTTAAGCTTTAGAAATTAAAAATATTGTTTTCAAAATGTTTTGTGTAGGGAATAAATAGTTTTGACTGTTAAAGAAATGCTAAACAACGTTGCCTGTGATGACGTCACGAGTACGCTTCTGCTCCAATACACATACGTGCTTGCGTGCTCGCGTTCTCGTCAAGTCCGATCTTCCTGCGTTCTCGCCAAGAACAGACTTGACGAGAACGCGAGTACGTACTCGCGTTCTCGTGAATTGAGAAACGCCCACAGTCTCTACTCGGCTTTCTTATAAATATTATCTATGCTTGAGAACCATCTGTGGTCCAAAGACAAAATGGTGCGTGGTGCAAGGTCCACTGTAGGCGGTGTTTTTGAGGATGGTGAGTGGAATGGAGTTGGTGTGTTCTTGGAGTTTCTTTGGGTGGAACACTTTAGGCTAAAAGGAACCTCACACAACTTAGAAGAATTGAAGCAAGGCGACATGTCAGTCGGTCCTGGAGGCTTGTCAGCAACTGGCCAATCAGGGATAGAGATTTGTCCTCAAGTAAAGGGGCTCACTTTGACAAAACTGCCAGGATTTTGCATTTGAAGGGAAAGTGGAAATGGACATTTTGTCAAAAAACATCTAATAAAAGGCTAAATGTTGTCAGAGGGAAGCATGCAATTCAGAAATGCTTAAACCCAAAGTACTCAGAGTGAGAAACACAGTTCTACAGTTTTATCAAAACCATAAAGGAGACTTAGAAAGTATAAAATATGGACAAAAGCCTGCTGCTTATCACATAACCAGCTCTACACAACAGTTCTCAATGGAAGCTACCATTTGTTAATTTTAGTCATGATTAATTCAGTTCCTCATCTTAAGCTTGGAAACCGCTTAAGTTGCTAAATTAATTTCAAGTGTGGGTAAAACATTCCAAGACAGTGTGCTGCCATTGGCTTCTGAAATTCATACACAGCCAGATTATACTGATTAAAAACATGCTTCAGATTTTCACCCTGTCATATCTATACTGTATTCACTCACAGCCATTTTGGTCGGCTTGCCTTCCTCTGGGCTATCTTACAGTTGGCTCCATGTCAATTGTTAAGGATCTGAGGGATGTTGGAGCCATTTTGTCAGCTTAGTTTCTCAGGCAGAAGAGGGAAAACACCATCAGGTCCTGGAGCTTTTTAAAACTTTCTGCAGTGATCTTAAGTGTAGGAAGGGGGTCATTGGGGCAAAAGGGTATGGTTGTGGAGTTGTTGAAGGGTCTGTTTATAGACCTTCTATGTGGGTGTGTAGGAATGGATTGGGAGCTTTTTTATTTTTTACCTCTAGGGAAAAAAGCTGTTGAGGTCGCGAACCTCGATAGAGCAGGAAGATGAACTCCTGTAATAAGTGATGTTGTTGCGTCATTACCTTATAGCTGTTCATGGTTCTCATTGTAGCTTCTCGTAACATTACTGTTCTATTTTTTTATATTTTTCTTACCTGTAAGCTGTTCTTATTGATCACATGCTGCTTCCTTGGATGTGAAGAGAATCATGGTTATTAATTCCTTGCATTTCGAAAAAAAACAGTAGTGAGTTTTTACATCACTCTGCAGGAATCTTCTTTGGAAGATTTTTATTAATTCTGTAACACGGGAGGGATTTCAAGCATAATTGACAAGTTTAAAGTTGTTAACTGCTGGTGAGCTTTTTTTGGTGGGGCTCTCACTGTTCCGTTTAGTTGTAGATATACATTATTGCAATCCGTTTTTAGAACGAACGTTTGACAAATTTAAATCACATTAAATTCCAGAATGATGTTTTGATGCCCTACGCTGTGTTGCCAAACAGGTTTTGTTTAAATTGTTGTTTTTTCCCCCAGTGTTTTTATTCAGGGTGTCTGAAAAGGAGGACACTTAGGTCACCCTATTTTATTGTCATTACACTGTCACAAGTACAGAGCAACGAAGCTCATCCCGTTGGTGAGCAGTGGGCAGCCATCGTGGGGCGCCCGGTAGTAGTGTTGGGTTAAGGGTCTTACCCAGAGAACCACAGTGGCAGTCTGTGTGAGTGGGGCTTGAACCCACAACCTCAGGATTCCAAGTTCTATGGCCTAAACTGAAACTGCAAAAAACGATCTAGAAATGGAAGTAGTATTTTTACTCTTAAAATAAGATGATTAGATAATATGCACTTTAAATAAGACAAACCAATTGGTTTTTATTGTTGAAAATGTAAATTGTCTTGTTCCATTGGCAAAGTATCTTACCTCCTCAATTCAAGAAAAAATACTCTATTTTAAGAAAAATTAAGATAAATTACTTAGATTTATATTTTAGATGCTAGATACTTTAGATTTTAATTTTTTGCAGTGTATATCAAGGGGTGAATTGCTTTTCTATGTAGATTGTGATTGGTTTGGATTTTTTTTCATTAATAAAATCATCAAAAGTGTAAACAAAAACCTTTTTGTATTTTCTCGGGCTATCTTTATGTAGTATAAATGTTTTTGTTTAAAAAGATAAAAGCAGAAGATCTCTGTAGGTGATACAAATATGTCTTACTTTTCACTGCCCTTTACGTTAACTGTAGGTTTTATCAAACGGCCATCGAGAAGGATGCCCAAGTCCAAGTATGTCTGAGTGAGAAAACATTTTCAATTCAAACCCTGAAAGCCGCTTTAAACCCTTTGCAAAATAAATCAACGCTGTGTCCCTCTGCCACATGTTCACTCTATGGGATGGAATGGAAAGTGCCTTCCTCGGCAAATTGCGATTTGATAGAGATCTCAAGTACCAAAGGTTTCCTGGTATTCGAACTGAGGAAGCCTTCATCCATCACAATTTAAAGCTCCAATGACTGCCAGCCAAAGCATTTCTGCTCCAGAGCTATATTACTTTTATAAAGAAAAATAACAGTTCAAAGGGTGAAAATTTTCCTCCAGTTCACAATGTTTGTGAGCTGTTTCCCAGACAAATTGGAGGCAATTGTGCAGATTTGGTTTGATACAGAAATCGCTATAGTGTCAAACATCTGAACGCTAATTAATGTTTCTGCAGTTAATGTAATTGTTTTGCTCTTTTTGCAATCTACCTATGGCTTATTCCTCTTAAAAGCCTTTTTTGTGTAACAAGAATATAAAAGCTACTTTAAAAAGCCTTCAATTTAGGCTCATTTAGATGCTATATTTAGGAAGTGCACATTGTTTGATCAGTATTGTTACACTATAGGATCTTGTAGTGAGCTCCTGCGCTCTATACATACTGCCATCAAAGCATGCAACATCTCAGCTTAATGCATCCCTCCAGTTTCTTGGGTCAGAGTAGGTTGTGTACTAGGATCCAACATTCGCTCTCCAGCAACTCCTTTATCCTAATTGCTTCTTCTTTGTCCTCCCTGCAGTCCCTTCTCATGTCTGGGAACTTAAATTTGCTTTCCAAATTATCCATGGATAGCATTTTGTTTCACGTATTAAAGAAACTGGATTGTGTTTGTTTTTGTTTGTGTGGAACACTGGAAAATGGTCTTTTGTCATAATTTGTTTTGATGTTCTTGGGTTTGGTCCAAGTACTGATGTGATACTATTCAGCATGGCCCTGAGTTAATTCATACTTTGCTTTCAATCAATCATATTAAAACTAATAAACCAAAAAGCATTTTTATCTTTTCTGCAATGACTTTTATAGATTTTAATGCACTTAGTATTTAAAGGAGATAGTTCTTAAGATTCTAATTTCAGCTCAACCTTTTTTATTAATTTAATTGTTAGTCTGGTTGTGATTAGTAGTAATTGATACAGCCTTCAACCACAAGATGTGTTGCCTTTCAGGATTGAACTATTTAGAAACATTTGTCTTTGTTAGAGTACAGCTACAAAGTTTAGTTTAAACTAATTAATTTGGATTATATATATGATAGACCAACACAAGGTGGAATTTTAAACTAAAGTAGAAGGAAAGAGATGAATTATTTTCAAAGATTTCTTTATGCAAAAATATAAAAGATAATAATATTAATAATATAAGGTCTTTCAGTGCACGGTTTTGCCATATCTGGAGACTATCATCTTTGACCATTCATCTTTAAGAAATGGGTTACATGCAGTCATTTTCAATAGTATCTATGAACATCAATTTCATTTCTTGCTGCAAACAGGTTTTCTTCCCATATTGGTTTTGTCATTGGCAGTCTAACATGTTTTAGATGCTCCCTTGAATTGGCAGATTCAGATTGTACGTTTTATTTGTATTTGATTCTAGATGTTGGAGTATGTTAAATGCTTTGAAGTTGACATAAGATCACAAATTTTCTATACATATAAACCAAGGAAAACTGAGAAGAATTGGGTGTATTAGTCATAAATTTTTATTTATTATAATACATAAGAAATAGTTACTTGTGTAGGTCAGAGATTTTTTTCTGTTTAGACTGTAATGATAATTGGATATTCAAAAAGATCCCCAAAACAGATGCTAAGTACTAATGAGCCATTTCTAAACCCAATAGATGCTGTGTGTTTGTGTGTGGATTGACTCTCTTCACTATTTTCCCCAACATTAGCAATTCACCAGTATTAACTTTGAGTTACTTTATATATGTAGTGTTCATTTAACTAGTTCTCCTCCTATAAGTATTAAGCTCTTTGTTTTTGCTCTTTTTTACCTCCATGTGCCACTGTTTTCACATTCCTTCAATCTTTCCTTCAAATCCTTCCTTTTGTTCTTTTAGCTTCCTTCGGTCTGTGAACTTTGATTACATTTACCCTATTTTTTCATTTTATACATGTCAGTTTGTGTTAGTATGTAGATCTCTTGAACATGGTTGTCTGCCATTGTTGGATTTTACGTTTAACTGCCATTTCAATCTTTCACCCTACTTATAGTCTATCATATATGTTTAAGGGACACTGTAACAAAGGAAAAAAAAAACACATATTTAATAGAAAATATGTGCAAGTGCCTTCCCTGTTCTTCCCGTCAACCCTCCTTCCCTTATCCACCTGTAGTTCAACAAAACCGCCAAGCCTGTAGCATGCTTTGAGCACCTGGTGCAGGCCAATGTGAGGAACAAAAGGATCCTGAAGGATGCTGTGCAGAAGCTTAAAGCTGAGGGCATCACCAACTACACCAGTGGCTTTGAGCTTGCCTTCGCACAGCTTGCACAGGTAAAGTGTGTATGGACTTTATTAACTTGCTACATGGTGCCTTTAAGTGGTGGCTGATATATTTTCATGTAACACCCAGTTCAGAACAAATCTTTTCTGATTATTTTCATATCAAATCTTACCTCTAATCTCTTCAACTCAAGTGAAAAATGAATCAAAATCAATACAGCTTGATGATTTAATAACTTTGCCCTTCCATGTATGTATGCCAGATTTATTAGTGCTTTGGTTATGACCCTGCCTTAATAAAGCTAAATAAATTACTGTTCTAACCACCACTTCTGAAGAGGTCTGGTATTGAACTATTCATTAGATCTGGGTCTTTTTATGCAGTGGAATTTCTTAAGTCTCCAGGAGCTGATGTCCTGTACGTTTAAGTTGGTCCCCCTAAACCAATATGTCAGGGAACCGCATTTTGACTGTATTATATTCATGTGTTTTTGGTATACATCCATCAATGTAACAAATCATGGTTTGACAAAATTTATTTGGTATTCCCTGTAAAAACCCTTTAATACTGCATTTCAGTTTGCAAAGGCATCTCCCATGTATATGCCTGAAACTATCACAGTATCAGCTTTATTCTTATTTTGCTTATGGCTGCCCTATTAGGCCCGGCATACACTATACAATACTTTCCATCTGTACAATGAAATCAATGAACACTGATGCGATCTACCTGCTCCAACTGCACGTCCAAAAACCACATGTCGGACTCAGCGCTGAGAGATGGTGCTGGTCAGACTTGTCAATCTGGAAGAAGAAGAGCTCCCTTGTTTGCACATGCACAGTGCTTGAGGTCCTGGTATATCACAAGAGCTGACTGAATTTCAAACATGTTTGATTTTCTCCCAATCTTACATTTCCTGACTGGGAGGTGATCGTGAGAGGCTGATCACCCCTCGTTACCCGCTATATGCTACACGACACAGGACACACGATGAGGCTGAAAGTGGGCCTGATCAAAAAACATTCTTGAGAATTCGCCTAAAAAAGGGCAAAAACATGTACAGTTTATGCCTGGCTTAACTAAAAAAAATCTTTCTTTTTGTGATGATTTAGATGTTGACTTTGGTTTGTCATGCCAAAAGTTATTGGTTGGCTAAAATGTAAATGCTAGAACTCTTAAAGTTTTCAGAACTGTTAATCTCTAAACTTTGACTAAAGTCCTTGTAGTTCCAGCTTAAAAAAATAGCTGCCCTAAATCACGTTTTTTTTTTTATGGTAAAATTTTATCTCACGCTTTTTCGAACCCTACAACATGTTTTTGGAAAACAATATGGCAAATTTTTTTTAACCACCTGTCACTTGAACTGCACAGCAGCTCTTAATGCTGCCATAGACCTATTTTGCAGCTTCCCTGTCTAGTTCCCTGTTTTACTCATTTCATTGTGGCACCATATTTTCTACATTCGGGGAGACTGTCTTCACTTTGTACATTGATTCACATAATGCCTTGGCAATCTTTGGCCTCCTTTTTTCTGATGGAAAGGGTTTATACAGATTCTCCCAATTCTTTAGAAACTGCCTTTGCTTTGCTGTGAAAACAAAGGAATAAAACCAAAAATCTGAACTTTGAGATGATAAAAATAAACACTTTAAATATGCTGAATGTTTAACCTGATCAAATTCTGAACACAGGACTTTATTTTGAGTTGTTTAACCAGAGGTGTTTTATCATTTTTAGACCCTTTTTATAAATGATCTTTGCATGAGTGAACTCATGTTCACTCACCATCCTAAATTTCTAATAAAGGCGAATAATCTGACATAATGTGTTCCTACTGAGTTAGTATTTGTCGCCCTCAACTGGTTCTTTGTGATATTGCACTTTCTCTACATGCACATTGATCATTTCTCAAGCATCAATGCAGCAGCTTTACTGAGCAAATTTAAGAGTTATTGCTTTTGTTTTGACCAGGCCAATGTGTCGAGGGCCAACTGTAACAGGATTATAATGCTGTTCACTGATGGAGGAGAAGAGAGAGCAGAGGAGATCTTTCAGAAATACAACCCTAAGCAAGAGGTAGGACTTTATTTGCTTTCTCCTCAGTAAAATTTTGTCATCAGCCCTTTCGGCATGTTTTATTTAGTCTAATTGCACTTTGTTTACTTTACAGGTGCGCATTTTTACATTCTCAGTGGGTCAGCACAGCTACGACAAAGGGCCAATACAGTGGATGGCCTGCAATAATAAAGGTACCCAAAATGATCAGATCCCTGGTGTTTAGGGTCGAGACTTTGTTTAAGAAAGAAACTTTGCATGATTAATAAATTGCTCTTTCACTTTTCACCATGGAATGAACAAGGAAAAGTCAATCACAGTTTGTGTTTTGCTCTGCATGCCTTTAAAGTTTACATTAGTTCATATAAATGGAGCTTTTCCACAAAATTCATCTGCTTCATGTCATACTCAGCTGTGTTGTTTGTTTGAAAAAGCTCATTCATTGGCTTACATACAGAGGATCATATTCATTGTTGATGATGATGGGACACAAAAGACTTTGCTGGCATGCCACCAGAACAGCTGGTTGGAAGAAGGATTGTGTTGTATTGCTGTTTTTTAGGGAGATTTCATTCTAAATGTGAGCTTTTAGGTTTTTTGTAAATTAAGTTCACAAATGTTAGACCTTTTAACAAATCATTATACCAAGAAATCTTCCTAGTACTTTATTTTTGCTTTAAAACAACAGGAGGAGATTTAATATTGCATCAGTCAAGTAATTATGCTGTTCTTAGGGATCTTTGTTGAATGTATGTCTCTGTTTTCTGTAGGTTACTATTATGAGATTCCATCTATTGGGGCCATTCGGCTGAATACTCAGGTAAACTTGGTGATGAGAAACTATTTCACTGTTTTTGTCGCCCTAAATTGTTGCTCATATTGCCCCCCTGTGGTAGAACAACTGATGTGCAGGTTGCAAAATAAGTTTCTTTCTGGTGATTTTGGTAGGAGTACTTGGATGTTTTGGGTCGGCCAATGGTTAAAGCTGACAGCAGGTCCAAGAGGAAAAGCAAGGCTAAGGAAGTTCAGTGGACAAACGTCTACCTGGATGCACTGGTATGTTCTGTCAGGAAGTGTTAAAACAACCTCAAGGGTAAATAAGGGTACTTTTAAACTAAAACTATGGTGCAATACCAGTTTTATCATTTCATGTGAAGAAGTCTTGTTAAGTTATTTGCTGTCGTGTTATCTTATTTTTGAGCAACAACAGATAAGCTTAATTTCCAAGTTTTGCTGTTAATGCTTTAGTTTTGATTTACTGCCAGGCGACAGCAGATAAGAAAGCTGACCAATTTTATTTGGTCAGAAACTAACCGTTTAAAACACCATATCGACTTTCTTAGATTAAAAAATATTTTTAAAAGAACTGTACTATTTAATCATTCAGTTTTCTGATCAAAACTGCAAGGAGTGTTCTGCAGGTTTTTGTTAAGGCCAATTCTGTACATGGTTCTACTGTAACAACAAAAATATTGTTCCATTTGACAGTATTTACTTAAAAGCTGCTAAATATAAATTTGTTAAAGGAAAATTCCATGTGTTCTTGACACTTTACAAGGAAACTGTCATTTTAAAGTGTGGTGTGCATTAGCATTCTGCCTCCTTCACTCTAGTATCACAGAATTAAATCCTTTGTAACTAAGATTTGTTAGAGATCACATTAAAGGAGAGTTTACATCAGAACTAAGTTATAAAATAATTTCCCAAGTGTTGAACATCCAATGGAGTCAACGCAGTGTCTGAGCATGGTACAGCTACAAACCTTATAAGAATGCAGACAACCTGTTTGAGGCTGTCCTGACATAGAAAGAGGTTCTCTTTAGGCCAGAGCAAGCCCAAACATTCTGCATACTGAATGGATAAGAGCATAGCCATTTGTCAGAACGACCCTGTCAAAGTTCCAGCCCAAAATCCAACAGACAATCTGAGGCAAGACTTGAAAACAGATGTTTTTTCCATCCAATCTGAACTAATTTGGGCTACTTTTCAAAGAAGAATTGATAAAACCTATTTGTTTTGTAACAGTAGTGGTAAACGTAAAAGATTTTTAATTTTTTATTTGAGTTTGTTTTGTTGGTTTTACCAAATATTGACCAAGGCCTGAATGCAAATACATCAAACACTTTTTAGGTTTGTATCTGTCAAGTACCAGGGAAGCCTTCTACCCATTTCTATGGAGGCCTTTTGGTTTTGATGTTTAGATGGTTTAAATAACTGTTTAACCCAGTATGTTAGCTGTATGTTCTCTTCTATCTTCCAGGAGCTTGGTCTTGTAATCACAGGAACTATGCCCGTCTTCAACAAGACCAATACAGGCTCAAAGGTATCCACCAAATACGTTTTAAATAAAACTTTTATACCACCTTCCCAAACACACAAACCAGATTGTTCATATTTTATCATAAATAACTTTAATGACCCAGGGATAAAGAAATTGTCTTTGTCTTTGGTACTGGGGATTTTCACCGTGATAGTTTCCTTTTCTTAATGTTTCCTTTTTGATTCATCAAGAAAAGTAATGAATGTAGAAGTCATGTGGTATGTGTAATAGCATTTTTGCTTTTATCACAACAGGGTGTAATTGGTAACAATTAAAAACGCAGATCATCTCATTCTGGCATCTTTTTTATGTCCTCTGCTGCTGACTGTAGTTCTGACTGTAAATGTGATGCATGCTAGATTATAAAAAGATTAGAAGACAAACACTTAACATGAATACTTGCTTTTATCTTCTTGCTTCTTGTGGGTTTGGCTCGTTTGCTTTGTTGACGCAGAGGTCCCCCAAAGCTCTCAACAAAAAGAAAATGTAGGATGTCACACAGCAGAATTTAAAGAATAGATCAATCATGCAGATCAGAGTGAGAAATGATCCGGTAGCTTAAATGCTTCAAGATGAGTCTACATGTCTACCTCAGAGGACTCGAAGCCTACCTCCAGTGCGACTAAAAGCAAGTCTGGAAATGCCTTCTCCGTGACTCACTGCAGCACATGAAGCTTTTGGGAATGAAACTGTCCAGATTTCTATTGCAACCATTTCCTTGAAATCCTTCACAATCCACCCAGGGAATTAACTCATCCAGGAAGAGCAACAGAACTCATAAGAGAGCCTCACAGTTACTCTTTCTGCAGCTGACATCCTCTCTCTTTTTCCTATGGTTTTCTCTCAGAAGTCACAAAACCAGCTCATCCTGGGAGTTATGGCTATTGATGTCTCCCTGGAAGATATCAAGAGACTTACTCCTCGTTTCACAGTAAGAACTCACAGGTCACACTAATGTGCATTAACTTGTGTCTGTGCATTTTATTCTTTATGCAGATGTTTAGTCATTAATTCTTGTTGTTGCTTTTTTTCCCCAGTTTGGTCCAAATGGCTACTACTTTGCTATTGATCCAAATGGCTATGTGTTGCTCCACCCTAATCTTCAGCCACTGGTAAGCAACATCCCAGTTATTTTTAGAAACAGATTTTCCAGCAACCAAGCAATTCCCAAATACAAAGTTTAACAAGACTTAATTTTCAATATATTGCCAGAATTAACCACTAAAATAAGTAGTGAGTATTTTGACTGTTATGTGCATTGATTTTTGCCCAATCTGGACAAACTGCTGGAGAAACTATGGTTTACTTCTACATGCAATACACGTCTAAAGATGGAGATTTTGCAAAATAGCTTAAGACTTCTCTGTTTGACCCAAGAACAAAAATTTCAAATAATTTTCACAGATTCTTGGTCAGATTTAGACCTGAGCTTTAACTGGCCCATTCTAAGACCCGAATGTGTTTTGATCTGTTGTCACATTGAACAGGTTCTGCTTCTAGATTGTCATATACTTACTGACAAGCTCACTACATGTCCCTACAACTACCATGTGTCTATATGCTAATTGTGCATTTGGGATGATGTAGCGTAGCTTTCCTCGATCTCTGCAGCTCCTCTTATTTTTCTTTAGATCGTTTGATAGACTTTTAAACTTTTTTTTGTTGTTTTCTATCATCTACTTACAGGATTTTATCTATTTGCCTCTTAAGTTGCTCCTCTAACATTTAAGAAACGTGCTTTCTAGGGCTGAAACAATTGCATTAATTGTGAATAATCGAATACTGAAATAATGGTAAACTAATTTAGTAATCGATTAATTAACTAGAGTATAGAGACTGTAAACTCTGACAGAGTAACCCATTTAGAGCAGTAATTTTATCAAAATTGTAAAAAAAAAAAAAAAAGTAAAAAATTAGCTTTCAATTGCTGAAAAATCTTCTTTAAGGAATCTTTGGCTATCCGATTATTAATCATTTAATCAAAAAAACTATAATCGGATTAATCAATTAGCAACTTAATGGTAAGTTGCAGCCCTAGTGCTTTCCTTAGACAACTTGCAAAGTTGGTTGCAGGGGATTACATGGTGTTTCCTCCTGATTACAGTATTTATGTATACACATGACCATCCGGTTCTAAGAAGTCATTTAGTTTCATTTTTTTCACAGACTGCTAAGTTTGATGAGCCTGTAACACTCGACTTTCTGGATGCAGAATTGGAGAACGACATCAAAGTGGAGGTTTGCAGTATAAATGTGTTGTCTAAATGATTGCACAAACTTAAATGAAACCCTGGTGTTCTAATATAATGTATATTTTTGCTTATTTGCTTTTTAAACAGATAAGAACTAGAATGATAAATGGAAAAACAGGGAAATACACTATATCTACATTGGTAAAATCTCAAGATGAGGTAATTCTTTTAACTTCTAAGTTCATAAATTTTTTTTTTTTTTTTTTTTTTTTTTTGGAAGCCTGATTAACTAACTGTAACTGTTATCGTTTAAGCGCTACATTGACCAAGGTCAGAGGACCTACACCTTTGCTCCTGTGAATGGAACAGACTACAGGTTAGATTTAAGTTAACTTCTTGCTTTCTCATACACATATGTAATACTTTTAAATGGATAATGGATCTCATTGGATGAACCCAAAACTTCCACTATAAAAAGTTACCTGACTTTTAATTACACTGTTGCTTTAATGGGGGGTTGTTTCTCAAATGTGTTCAAAAGATTTTAGACTATTTTAGGACATGTGCAGCATACAACTGCCTCTAAATTACCATTAAAAATATTGTTTAGGTGATTTAAAACTGTTGTTACCCAGCAAACACAGTTACATCTCTTTAAGATCTTTTCTTTAATTTAAAATTAAAACCAATATTTTATTGAGATTTTCTGTATTTTCTCTGCAGAGTTTAGATCAGATGTAGGAATACCATTAAGATCAAATGGGTATTAGTAACTTCTGGCATTGAGGAAACGTCTGTTCTGCATTCTCTGGACTCGTTTATCTTCTCTGTAAATTACAAAATTTATTTTTGTCTGGGAAAAAGAGGAGCCTTTTTCTATTTAGTCCAGCTAATACACTTCTGGTCGTAGGGAATGTGCTATAGGTCTGTCTAGGGTGACTTCTGGAGCTCTGGCTCCAGCTGCATACCACACCCTGTGACCCTTTCCCAAACTCTGAAATGCTTTTCCTGTGTGGCTTACCCTAATGGTGGAGGGTAGTGTCGCTGGACTATCGGGTCAGCCCTATAATTGAGTAAGCCATAACAAACTATGTCTGTATTAGACATTTTGAACTGGTTTTAAGTGATTAAATTTTAGAGAAAACCCACTTTGGTTTTCGTTATTTATAAGCCTAAATATCAAATTAACAGTAATAAACTTTTGAGAAAAAAAGTACATTACATTAGAAGTTCCATTTCTGAATTGGAATGAATGCAACATTTTTGTATTATACATTTACTGTTTATTACTTTATTAATAACTGCCTTTAGTCTAACAGTGTTGGAGATTGCAGTTTATTTTTATTTTCACTAAGGCTGCAGTCACAGTAGTCACAATAAGCAGTTTGACCAGTTCTGATCTTCTTGTCGCATCAATATCTCCTCCCAAAGCCATTAGTAATTCAGTCAAATCAGGTAATATAAATTACATCAACATTTACTTTCTCTTTGGGATTAATAAGATATTTTTGAATTAAATAGAAGCCTCAGTTAGCCAGCCTAAAGGCGGCTGAAGAATGCGTCAACATTTTACTGCTCCTTTTCCTGTTGAGTGCTTCTTACCTCTTGATTGTAATTTATGGTACTCTGTTTCTAAAGTGGTCAAATAAATGGTAATTGCATGCTTCATTAACACATAAACATTTCCTCCACCTGTTAAATCTCCTAAGATAATGTCTTGGCCCAATCTTAGCTGTTCGGCAAGGGAATTTTATTCTGATTCTGAATTATCCATATTATATAAACTTATACTATGAGAAAACTATAAAATTCAACTACTTCCAATTGTTTTGGATTTGAAATAAAGAATGTCTCCCATTCAAAATGAGAGTGCACACGAGTTAACTCAAAAACTGTCGCTTTGTACGCAGGTAGCTTATAAAAAACTTGAGTTTTGCACTAATTACTGAATAAGAGATATGTTGCTGAATTAAAGGCAATGTTTTAATTTCTCTTTTTCTTTTCAGCCTGGCCTTGGTTCTACCAGACTACAGCATGAAATACATCCGTGCAAAATTAGGCGACACAATAACCCAGGCAAAATGTAAGTTAACGTTCATATCACTGAAAAAATACTGGTGCATTTCTTTATCACATCAAATTTTTATTATTAGCTATAGTATAAAGATGTTAGGTAAATAGTACCTCTTAGCAGGGTTTACCCAAAATCAATGCTGTCCTAAAATAAAAGACTCCTACAAAGTAAAACAGTGAAGTACCCATGAACATCTACAGCACTCTTCTAATAGGTAATAGTATTTCCTAGTCACTTATTACACTCATCTTTGGTGCAACTGAAACTACTTTTTTTATATCAGCACAGAGAACTGTCCTCCTTTACATATAACGTAGTTCCTTCACTGTCTGGAAAAGTGTGCAGTTTAGCTTAAGTATTTTCCAGGGGCCGCATGTACTAAGAGATGCTTGGATTCCCAGCTGATACCTTGTGTACGCTAAAGTTGAGAGAACTGCATTCGGACAAACAAATCCAGATGTGCGATTTGTGGCATACACATGGACGGAGTGCAAGCTAGTAAAAATGCAGAAGTGTGCATAAATGAGAATAACCCCCCTTGATAAGCCTATGTTATGTTAATAGAAATGTTGTAAATATGTTCTGCACCTGTGATTATTCTGTTTCATGATCGAAAACAATGTCTACATGTGAGAAAAACGAAACAAACAGGACTATCAGTTATTCTTTGTTTAGAATCCAACTTAATGCTATAAGAAGCGCAGATCAGGGGTTTCCAAAATGCAGCCTATTGGAGGGGAGAGTTTGTTGTTGTTGAAAAAAATTCAAAACTCACACAACTAATGTTAAGAAAATGAAGTTGATTAATGTTCCAAGCAGTAAACTGTCCAGCCATGTTTTCTATTAGACTGAATGAATGGTGCATTAAACAAAGTTTCATCTGCACCCAACATATTGTCCTTTGACCGAAGGTGATTGCTGTTTGGTTAGCAGTACACCTCTCTGGATAAGCTGCATCCCAACGATAACATTCTAAGTCACTGAGTTTCTATCTTGGACCAAAAACTTTAATTTTCCTTCTTAAGCTATTAATCATAATTTATAACAAAGAAGATAGCATTTTGTTTTATTTTCTCTGTTTCATATTTGTGCTCTTTTATATCAACTCATCAGTTATACATTTGATAACTTTTTTGTTCTATACTGAATTTCCAGGCATGCCCTCTAGGTGTCCCCAACGAGCAGATAAGCACTTTTTGTACATGTGGCCCATAGAAGAGAAAAAAATCTTTATATTTATAGATTGATGGTCTTTCCCACTATTTAAATCCACTTAGTCATCTTTCAGTAGATGATCTAACCTTTATTGGAGTATCATTTGTATATTAATATATATGTTGACAACTAGTACTTTAAAAAAATAAGTGAAGATTTTTCTGTGATTCTTGAAGTCAATACAAGGATATCAATGTAACTTTGCTTATTCTTGGCTAAAAAGAGGACTTGATTTATTTTATGTACATGTTCTCTAAAAAGGTTGACTTTCATTTTTTTAATATAAATTGCCCCACCCTATAGTGTTCTTCAATGTTTGGATTTTTTCCATTTGGTGTTTATTATGTTGTTGTGTTTGGGTTTTCATGCATTTTTCAAACTGTACAATGTTATCGGCTATTTTGGGGGGGGAAATAAAAATACAAATTTGGGTGCCCAGTCTGTGCTTTTAAGATGTAAAAATAAAGTTGGCTGGCATATGTAGTTTTGTTTCTGGCAGCCTTTTTATTGAATTAAGTTGAAACTGGGCTGAAAAAGTTGGAAGGCCTTAAAAGAAACTCAAACAGATTTACTCCCAGATTATTAAAGTGAGCTGTAGAAAATGAGTGGGGAAACGGCTCTTTTTCATCATCTGAGTGGCAGCAAGTCCAGCCCAAACCTTGGATTATTGAAATTGGAGACTTTGTCATTCAATTAACCTTAAAGCTATTTATCTGTCCTTACAATGTGTACAGATTTTATCATTTAACATTAGGGGAAATATAGTGTTTGCACAATAAGGGAAATCTGTCATAATGCAATTTTAGTTGTATCTCGCCAAGTTAGAATGTCTTCAAAGCATTGCATACTTAAGTGATTCAATTTAACAAGTGTGTTTTATAGATTGATTTCTCAGGTGTTGTTATAATGAAAATGTTTTTGTTTTCTTTTGTTGATGTTCATTATAATTTATCCTAAACCACTTATGAGCTTTACATTGGAAGCATCTCAAACTTTACCAATCTAACCTAGTTTAAAATTCCCCAAAAATTAAAATGAAACCAGGATAACAATTTTTAAATCATTGCAATGCTCCTGCTTCACCTGAAATTAAACACTTTTTCTTCTGTATTGTATTCTTTTAAACTTCTGCACACAGTATTTGTATTAGATACATATTTAAATAGAGGTAATTCTCCCAGAGGCATCTCTTTGCATGCAAAGCATCCCACCAGTGTGTCGCAGACAGCGTGTTTGTGTCTCCCTGTGTGAGAGCGCCTGTATGTATCAACTCCCCCACCTGCTTGGTCTGTTCCAACGACCCTCAGATGTGGTTTTGGCAAAGGCCCACTGTAGCAAGAAGAACAGACGAACAGGATGTTTGCATTATTTAAAGGTGAAGCCATAAAGGGGAAAGCTGTGAGTCAGTACAAAGAGTATAAATTGATCTTTTCTTCAGTTTCTCTTTTTTTTCTTTGACTCATTTTGTGTTTTACAACTTTGTTACTCCTAATGAAAAACAGGAACTTTGGACACAGACAGCTTGATCTGTGTGTCCCTCTAAATGCTTTATCATCAATTTTTCTTTTTTGTGGGTGTTGGATCAAAGATCTTCACAGCACATTAAGCTTAGAGGTTTATCTGAAACCTAAGTCTGACAGTGTCATTTTATTTATTTACTTCACTTCAATCAAAGCACTCAAATTAACCAAAATCCCTTTCCTATCCCAGTTTCCTCATCTTCCTCCTCCTTGTTACCTTAAAATAAGACATTGTATTGTATTTGATAATGTAATAAACCACATAACTGTATGGGTAAATAAACATATAATTATAGGGCACATATGCTGCAGCTCCATTCACTCAGAAGTCCTCAAATAATTTCAGCTTGGAGATGATTGATCAGAAAAAATACAGAGAGTCTAATGGTGAGTCTGGAGGAGGAAGCACCATTGTTCGTTCACTCCTGTGAAAGAATCTATTAACACAATAATTATCTGTTCACTCAAAAAATCTGGCTCTAATGGAAGAAAGCTATATTTTAAAAGTGATAAGACTTTGAGTTTGGAGTTCTACCATGAACCCCATTGTTGATACTCAATTTTTGTTCATGAGAAATAATTGTTCTTTTTTTAACTATACTCAATTTGCTTTCTTTTTTTATGGTATTGCATAACGTCCCACTAAAATACAGCAAAATCTGTTGTAATACTGTGACCAAATGTGCAAGAGTGAAAGGGGATGAATACTTTTCCAAGTTGCAACATTTGTTATACGTTTTAAATAGTAAATACTGTGGAGTGAATAATTTTTTGCTAAAGTTGAATACTAGTTTTGATTGATTTTGTTTTTACACCAAGAGTAAAGAAAAAATTATGGTGTCACTCCCAATATCTCACCACTGCTCATTATGTTGAATTATTGAGGTATGACCATCTATCAAAGCTTTTCTACAAGCTGTAATTATTTTCTGAACATGGCGATCAAAGAGGAGTTTCCATTTCGTCATGAGAGATGTAATAATTGTCTGTAGTTCTTCTTTTTTTTTTTTTTTTGTCTTTTGGGGAGGGGACAAACACAGTTTGAGCTATGGTGAATGTTTCCACTAGATGTACAGAAAATCCATCAAAGTTTGGTAACTCCTGAGATTTACCAAGTCATCAAAAGATGCTAATTCTGGTTCTAAACTTCATCCTCTGACCACACTCTAAGCCTAACTGTGTGTTCCCCATCAGCACCATCTGCATCCAAGGAACCAAACTCTTTTGTTCGCTTTGCAATATTTATATTCAGGACTCGCTCTGTGAATAAAATATTGTCACCTTTGACCTGTGTGGTTTCACCCTGTCTTTTCTTCCCCTCCCTTTTCTTTTCCTTCTCATCTTTACCTCCCTGGGGGATCCTCGTGTTTGTTCGCTTTCTCTCCTCTGGGATTATTCCTACTCCAGGGAAAGAGGGCAAGTATCACTTCTTACTTTCATCTCTGTTCTCCTAATCCTTGCCCTGTCAACCCTTAACACATCTCTTGACGTCTTTTATGTTAACTTTATTTTTAGAGGTTTAATTCTGTGCTGTGTTAACTTTCCTCAAGGTTTGCTCCTGTTTAAGCTCCTATGAACTAAAGCTATTTGGTTTACATGTACATGCACTGATAAATCTCCATTACAAATAAGGGTTACGATTAGCAGGAAGTTACTTTGGACAAATAGCAATGAAATTACAGAGGTGTTTTAATCCTGTTGCTATTTCAGATATCCAGGAGGCACCATTATCCTCCTTCCTTCCGGTTTGCACAAGAGCACAAACCATTTTGTGCCCACTGCATTCAAACCAATGAGCATTTTATTCATCAATAATAATTGACATAAAAATATAAACTGTGAAAAAAAAAAAGTTGTATAATTCTTGATTTTTCCTTATTTATTCTGGTTTTGATCTTGGTGAGGTGATTTGAACAAACTATTTCTAACTGTGACCCAATGAGCGATCTCCACATTGCCTAGTAGCAGAATACGAACGTATTATTGAAAATAAGTTGAAATTGTTTTCAAAGCATGAACAGAAGATATCCCTTATGCGTATTAACTGATGCCTGATTGTCATTTCCTGATCTCGTCCCTAGTTTCTGAGAGCCTGCTTGCTGACAATTTTGATGAATATGGGTACACATTCATTGCACCAAGGTATGTTTACATATATAAAGCAAAATTCTTTGATTTCCAAGTGCCTGACTGTGTGTGCTTATAAGTCTGATTTGGTTTTCCTTAGAATGTACTGCACAGACTTAAAGCCTCCTGACAAGGAAACAAACAACACAGAGTTCCTGATGGACTTTAACAACTATATCGATACAAGGACTCCAAACGATCCTTCGTGTAAGTATAGCCACCCTGTTTCTCTGCAGAAATGAAACATGCAGTGGATTGAAAAAGTAAAATTTTTAATTGCAGCAGCAAACATACGTGAGAGGCTCGTTATAAATTAATTCTGATGGGTTTTTTGTTCTTAAAAGTTTGGCATATATTTTTATTCAGCTTTGATGATTTAGTATTTTGCAGACTGTTGTCTTTGCAGGTGTTGCTGCAGACCAGTGGTTTTCAAACTTATTCCTCGGGACCCCCTGCATATTTTAGAAGTGCCTCTGCTCTAGCACACCTGCTCCAAATAATTACACCCCCTCCTCAGCAGCCACTACAAGCTGCTGGGGTCTACTAAGCCCCCATTTATTTAAGTCAGGTGTGTGGTGGCAGGGAAATACCTAAAACATGGAGGACAGTGGGTCCTGAGGACCTAGTTTGAAAACCAATGCTATAGACCAGGGACTTGAAGCAGTCCCTATAGGGGGCGCCAGAGCTTTTCAGGGGCGGTAGACTGACTGTTATATAGCTTGACACCAAGTTGGAGCATCACAAACTCATTCATATATGTAAATTAAATAATAAAAAATAAATTTTAAATATGTATGATATATTGAATACTCCCTAAGTATTCGTTCTGCAAAGTAAAAAGATATTTAATGTCATGCAGTCTTTAAAACAGATTTGTTCTGTAAACTAGTTGCACCAACAGCCCTGAGTTGATGTTATATACCTCATAGGTTAACATTCTTAAAACTTAGTGTTGAAGAGATCGGAGTAAAAAAAAAATGCAGAAAATGTTAAAAACTTATAAAATAAATAGTTTTAAGGATAAAGGGGACAGCTATGTGTAATCAAAAACTTGTGACTACTGACCATTTTGTAAGGAGTGGGGGGGTTGTCTATTAGTTGTTTAAGTGAGGCTTACACTCCCACAATTGGCAAACTGCATTTGACCTTTGATTACCAAAGTTGGGGCCATTGCTCAACCAGTATGTGGTTTTGAAATCTACTGCAGAAATTAAACTAAACATCTCGTTAAAGTACTTAAAAGAATCTCTTTAAAATTGATCAAACTAACTCCTTTGGTTGATGATAGTTGATAGAGTTATTACCTCTGTGGTTAATTGATTTTGTAGAAATATTTTAATACTCTACAAATAGTTTGGGTCCTGAGTCGGCTCTTCTTTGGAAGTAGCTGAAGCTCAGTATGATTGGATGGAAATATACTTTAAACACAATTTCATGCTTTCTCACTAATTCTCAGTAAAAATTAGTGCTGGACTTAAGCGGGTGGTGTGATCTAAACAGATCTAAGCAGGTTATCCTGCTACAAGATGAACCTCCAGGCTTTTACAGCCCCTTTGAAAGCCTTATTCCAATCTTCTTGTTTCTAGCTGCTCCAATCTTTCCCCGCAACTTTAAAATTCTTTCGAAAGTCTATTTTTTTCCTCAACACTCCTCCACCAAAGCCACATTTCTAGATTTCTCCAACTGAGCTGTGGAGCTCTGCAGACATTATTCTCCAGAGCTACTATGAGCTTCTTTGCAGCATTTCTGACCGAGACAGATTGTCACTTTTGTTCTCTCAAATGTTAAAAGCTTAGGACTTATTTATATATATATATATATATATATATTAGGGCTGGGTATCGATTCAGATTTTCCAAATTGATGCGATTCGATTAACAAGGGCCCGATTCGATTTGATTCACAATTATTGTTTCGTTTCCTTGATATGGAAGACATTCTCAGAAGAACCAATGCTGCAAATAGTAGAAACTTCTAGCTCAAACTTGGAGCATTACTAAAAAATGTACATATCTACATTAGGAATTAAACCCAATGCAGTTACATTAATCATGTATGTTTTATTTAACATGACCTGACCAAATCAACTCAAACCACACAGCAGGCTGTGTAAATAAAATGGCAACAAACACACTGAATAGTGCGTACATGTTTGGTATTATTACCTCACTAAACTGTTTGCGTGAGGGTATAACGTAGCGTGGCTCCAGTGTCCTCATAAGGCCACGGGAACCTTCATTTCCAACCGTGCAGTATGGTTGTAAGTCTTTGCAGATGTATGTAGCAATAGCCTTAGTTATTTTCTGGGCACGCGGGGAGTTTGCTGGTAACTTCATATCAAACGCCTTCTCGAGCTGCATTTGCCTCGGGGCTGAATCAGATTGTGTTTGTGCTGAGTGGTGTCTCGTTAAATGGTTTCGAAGATTAGTTGTGTTTCCACATTACCTCACTTCTGCGTAGCAAATCTTGCAAACCGTTTTGCTCTTATCCAGTTCACTGCTGTCATTTTGTTTTTTAAATCCAAAATATTTCCAGACATCTGCCTTCAAACTTCTTGGCGGTGATTTCAGAGCTTCCGCCATATTGTTTTGGTGCGCTCCTCTCGCGCAGTGACGAGATCTCGCGGGATGCGAGAAGTCATGAATGTATGGAAAGATGTATTATAATGGATCGATTTATGGTTTTTATGAATCGATATCGGGCTATTGAAAGGGAAATCGATTAAAATCGATTAAATCGATTTTTTAACCCAGCCCTAATATATATATATATATATATATATATATATATATATATGCTTTAAACTTCTGTCTGGATTTATTTTGTCTGGTCAGTTGTGCTCCGTGGTCCTCATGACACTGTTTGTTCAGCGGTATTCTCAAACAAACCTATACAACCATTGCTGAGCTCGTTTTTTTTCTTCGGTTTAATAGTCTAGGAATTGAATACCAAAGTTTCACAGAATATCCCTATAAAAGAGAATAAAGTTGTTTACACCATAATAAAACAGGAAAATGCTTGATATGCGTTGTTCATTTATCTTATTAGTGTTTGCTTTGGTGAATTCAGTGACTAAATTTCTGCCATCCAACTTTTAGCAATAAAGATTGCATTGGACATAAAATGTGAGGGCTTGAAGGAACTGTGCAGCCAAATCTGTCATTTGTGTGAAATACAGGATTGGTTGAATGGTTTAGTGTGCATGACCTGGCAAAGCTTTGTAAAGTGGAACCTTTTTCCCTTCATGTTACCTATTTGATGCTAGCTCCAAAGATCTGACCATATCATGCCTGGCTGCACATGTGTGAAGCAGGTCGGCTTAGCTGTGACACACACACACACACCAGCTTTCTTGGTCACACACACTCTACCAGTTACATACCTCTCACACCACTCATGCAGCCACTCGACCTCATCCAATTACTGTGTGTTTGTGAAAAAGAGCAGGACACATGCAGCCTAGAGTGCGAGCAGAGCAATAAAACACATATCGGGTCCGACAGACCTTTTACTTGACATCTGACCAACACATTACCATCCTTACCCTTGCTTAAATACTCTATTTGATATGAAGTACCTATTACTTGGGGTATTGAGCAGAGCAAAAGTTCCCTGGACATTTATAAAAGGGCTCTTTTATTGCGTTCCATTGTTTAATTTGATGGTTTGCATTTAAGGACTTTCTTCAAACATCTCAACATGATCAAACCAATAAAACTTTTCACCCAGTTGAATTATTACTTTCACCGTTATTAGCTGCTAGTTTAATGGAGTCCACAGAGAACCACAAGGGAGGGAGAGGAGTGCAGTCCATGTGGAGGATTGGCGGCTCAGGCATCGTTACACGCTTTACGCGGTTAAGCCACTGCAGTGGCGAAGAAGTACATTAGGAATTCTTGGGCTGCCTTCAATAAAGAATCCCTAATGAAAACCACTGGATGGTGGGCTGAGAGGAGACCAAAGTGTTACGCCAGATGTTCTGTCTGATGTGTGAGGCGTGCCATAAAGACTGGAGATGGTGGTGGTGGAGGTGTATTGGCGAGCTCTGACGTTTATGGACTGGAGCGGGTGGATGGAGGGTTCAAAGAGCCAGGAACGGCCAAAAAAGGGGCAAATCCCTTTTATCAGCTCTTATGTTTGTCATGTGGTCTTGTTGAATGTCTGCAAAAGTATTTTTTACACTTGCACCACCTCACCACCTACACCACAGCATTTTGAATTGCAAATATTTTTTACCTACTCTATAGGCAATTTTAGTTTTGAAATTTGATCATTTTGGGGTTATTCTGGGAAAATGCAGAAAATGTTTTTTCTTGCACAAGTTATTAGTTATCTCTAGTTTTAAATTCATTTTATTTTTCTAAATCTTTACTTATTATTTCACTTCATATTAGATGATGTATTTTTTACTTTAAGTGAACTTTGTTTTTGTTTAGGTAATGTAGAGCTTGTGAACAGACTTCTCCTTGATGCCGGTATCACTGCTGATTTGGTCAAATTCTGGAAACAGAATGAGTTTGAGTAAGTAAAGAGGCACTATTTACTGTTTGGCAATGCAGATGGTTTGAATATTTCAACATCAGCAGTAAATGTCAAGTTTCCATAAAGCATATTCCAGGTTTTTGTTACAATGTTCTCATAGCTGTAATTTTTTTCCACCTGACAGACAAGGTATCGTTGCCAGATTTGTAGCAACTGATGGAGGAATCACTCGCGTCTTCCCAAAAAGGTATATAGGAAATAAAAATGGGGATAAAAAAGTTTTTTTTTCTAATGACAAACATGCACCTTGACTACACAGTCAAATGTTCATCAGCAGCTCTTGGGAAGATAATTATTGTTTTATTTAGGTATCAAATTTCAGATAAAAAAAGTTAGAAAGATCCATTTAGTATTCTACCCTTCAGAAGTATTCTATAGCAGTACTTTAGTCTTCAGGGCCCACTGTTCTGCACCTTTTAGGCTTTTCTCTGCCTTGTTGAAGCACCCAGTGATGCCCCATTGTCAGTTTTTGCAGAACCCATGACGCCTGTTTTGCTCAATAAGCCCTGCTGTTTCAATGTTTCTTATACCATGCACCCGGACAAGGCTGCTATGGCCCTTGGAAGTATACCACACAGTATCAAAGCTCCTACACTGTACTTAACAGCAGGTGTGATGTGCTCTTGAAAATTATTATTTTCCAACAGATACACCTTGAATGCTTATTGCAGAAAAGCTAGCTTTTGCACTGTTCTTGTAAATGTAAAGTGGATTTAAAATATTACAGATTATTACAATACTTAATCTTTTCTGTGCAAAGCAAATGTTTCCAGTAAAACTCCTTGTAGCATCTGGCTCTGAATTATTTTTCTTTTTTTTATTGTTTAGGCGTGCATCCCAAACAAGTAGTTGGGATGTGGATAGTCACTTTATTGAGACTTGGGGGATGATCTACTGTAGCTTTACAAAAAAACATGTGCAAACTTGATATCGAGCACATAAAGCTGATCTACTAACCAGAAACATATTCATTACTGTTTACTTTCTTTCACAGTCTTCTTTAGAAATTCAATTTCTACCATTTAAAAAAATTCCATGCTATTCAAAATTTATTTGCACATGGTATACATTTTTCGTATTTTTTTTAAGATCCTTTTTTTTCTCCAGACAATATTGTTTGCTTCTATTTATTTGTGTTTTTTTTTTGTTTTTTTTTTGCAAAGATACAGTGATTTTCTGTCTATATAAATTAAGGCAAACTTTTGGGAAAATGTACCTGTCTGTAGCCAAAGCTATTGTCTTAACATTATATACAGGAATAACTGCTAAATGTAAATAAACTTACATTTCATTGTATGGGTAATTTCTCACTTCATAAGTGTTGCAGGCTGTTAAAATTTGAATTTGTAAAGTAAAATATTGATTTCACTGTGTGCAATTTTAACAGTGCAGGGTTGGACTGGAAAGAAGAAGCAGAGACCTACGAGTCAAGTTTCTACAAGCGAAGTTTAGACAATGATCTGTACATGGTCAAGCCAACTCGCTACAACGGTAAACTTGCAAAAATATTCTGTGTCTGAGTAACTTCTTAGCATCACAGCTGCATGTTGTAACCCCACCGAGATTATGGGTATCATGCAGAAGTCTATTTCACAAAATCCAAGATAATCTGGGTATTCTGGCTTGATTAAGCCTTAACTCATCTTCACAAAAGCAAGAACACAAATTATCAAGGTGATTTATGCTATGCAGCTAGCCTGCTCCAGGTCAGACTAAGTTTCCTGAATTTTACCAGGGATTCACAAAAATGCTTTTAATAGTCTATTGAACGTGATGAGGGAATTAGAGAAATGTCTGATAAAGAAGCAGAGATGTTGTCCGTAAACTCAGGCCATGCAAGTAGCTCCAAACATATAACTAACTTAAAATTGTATGTTCATATTTTAAGTTTTCTTGACAGTTACCTTTTATAGGTATGGCATCCACAACACGTTCAGACTGCTGGGTCTGAGTTTTGCACTAACAGTCAGAATAAGCCATTGTTAGGACTGCTTTCTACTACCTAGATTATTATATGCATTATATTACCCCGATATGTCTTATCACTCCACATGATGGTGACTGCATCTTCAATAACATCTAGGCAACACATCCATGACTCCAGGGCAGGAACATTTCCAGACTCACTGACCTATTTTAACATCAAAACTTAGGAGGAGGTTAAAATATGTGTGCAGGCACCCTCTAAGTCATTAATAGAAATCATTTTAACATTATAGTCAACATTTGATTCAGAGGCTACCAGCCTGCAAAATGTTCTTACAATCCATCTTATCCACCTCCAAGGTCCTTGTTGGTCCAGTCATATTAGTTCTGTATGACAGGATTTCAATATTAAGAAGAAAATCATAAATCATATCTGCAGGTTAAAAAAGTTTTTTATGCCAGGTCCCATTCTGGATGAATGGATCCAGAGTTTGATCCAAAGATCCCACATTGAGGTTAAAGGCTAAAACTGAAAAAAGGAAACAAAGAAATAAAAAGGAATTTAAATCAATCCACTTTGGGATCTGCATATTACAGGTTAGTTGATAATTTGATTAATATTCAAAGTAACTCCTTAAATTATATTTTCTATTTAGAGAATAGTTGGGAAATATATATTTTACGCTGTTTGAGCATGAATTTGATCTGTTGTTGTTCACCAAATCAGTTAATCTTATGTTTTTGTTTTAAAGAAAATTAGAGACCTTCACTTTCGGGATTGCACCCAGCATGACATGGCTGCACCTGTTCAGCCTGGCTTGGCCTTAGTGAAATGTGTAAAGCATCAAGCCTGGCTTCATCTCTTATCTTTCTAAATGTGCCCTTCAAATTCTAGTCTAATTCTAAAACTTCTATAGCACTCTTTTATAAAAATTATATAGTAACACTAAAGTATTCATACTCTACTTCAACCTTTAAACCTTGTTATGTTAAAGCCACAGATTTCAATCATTTTTATTTGAATTGAATTGTTACCTATGAATGTTTATTTACTAATTTTCTTATGAAAAGGTTCAAATAAATCCCTTCAGAAATGACCAAATTCATGAATACTCAACATGTGTGAAATGTAATCTCTGTATAAACGCAGCTGTTCTAGGGAGGCCTCAGTGCTCTGATAAAGAATATTAATAAGCTAAAAGCATCATTATGGAACATCTACAAAAACAACAAAACTTGGCCGTTTACCTAAACTGACTTAGCTGAGATCAACTTCTAAGTTGTGAGAATCCTTTGACACAGCTTCTAATTGTCCTCTATAATTCTGGGCATTATCAAAAAATAGCGAAAAACAAACTTGATATCAACTGTAATGTTGGGGGCAGTTTATTTAACATCACATTGGCTAATAAAGCTTAATCATCTCTTCTTGTGTTAAATGTTAAAAGTTCAGTGGGAGTGAATTCTTAAAATGCACACTTTATTTAGTGGTGGTTTCTAGATGTTGGTTTATATATTATTGTTATTATTATTATGTTATTCTTTTTTGCAGAAAGTGGTAAAAATGTCCTTGTGAGCCGAGCAGTAAACCTCAACATTGATGGTTTTACACTCAAACCAGCTGGTAAGCAGCACTCTGATGTTTAAGCTAATTTTTTAACCTCCCTGCCTGCTTACAGCAGTGCCTCTTGTTACACACCTTCTTTTGTAAACCCGTAAATTTTTATACCGCAAAGTTTTATCATCCACACACTCCTATTTCATGACCGCGACCCCTCATTCGTCTGTTTCCCCCTGCTCTCTCTGGCAGTAGCCCACATACACAAACCACATATCAAGTTGTCTCATCGCCTGTGATCTTTAGCCAAGTTTCATTTTCAGGTTCAGAGTGTAAAGTTGACACAGAGGACCAGTTTGATCTAGGATGTCTGGATTTAATGTTGTGCTTAACTTTTTTTGGTTAGTTGTTGGTGTAAAAATGGACATCTATCAATGGATGGAGAGCTTCATCAGCATCGAGTATTGGAAGAATGTAGGTAGATGTCTATCAACATAAAATGCTCAAGCTGTAGCTTCATGTCATTATTTGAACCTTTCTGCTTTTTTCTGTGTTTTAAGTGCAAGAATGAGATCTGCGGCTGTAGGAAAGATGATCCGGTAAGGTTGGTGGGGGGGTCATTTAATTGATATTTTAAACAAAAAAGTGGAAAATCTATAGAAATATATATCTGTGTAATTTCAGTATATACACTGTGTTCTGCTGGATGATGGGGGATTCATGGTGATGTCCAATCAAATGGACGATCTCGATCAGGTGGGCCTCTGTATTCTAATTCATGATTGCTTAAAATATTATTATTAGAGATGTCAAGTCACAAGTACATATACTTTGTTACTGTACTTAAGTACACTTTTTAGGTATCTATACTTTACTCCATTACTTATTTTTCTTCCTACTTCTGACTTCTACTCATTACATTTTCAAACAAGTATCTGTACTTTCTATTCCATTTTTAAAAGAAACGTTCCTTGTTACTCTTCGGCTTCGGTTTAATGTTTATAAATATTAATTTCATGTCATGTGCGCTATCCAACGCAGATCATTGGCGCCATCCACATCTAGTGAAAACTAGTGTAATTGGATGAGTCATATAACACAAGCACTCATTGTTTAGCTATTCGTAAAATTTGTGCTGACACCAAAAGAAATCATCAGAAGCAAGCAGGTGTTCTTCAAACTGCAAACTCAAATTATCTTTGCCATGCTACAATGTTGGATTCAGGAAAAGATGTTGAAATGTCTGAAAGGTCGGACACAGGCGAGAGCGTATCGGGAGACGGAGACCAATAAGACCTCCCTCATCCTCCCTCCCTCATCCTTGGCCCTATCTCAAAGAATTTTTCTGAATAGTTGAAAAAATTTAGCTTTCAATTCATATAGGGGCATCTGGATGTTTTTTTAAAGTTATCAGAATCAGAAATACTTTAATAATCCCATAGGGAAATTACTTTTGTTACATGCTGCAGATACAAAAAATTTGTATATATATAAATAAATATATATATATATATATATATATATATATATATATATATATATATATATATATATATATATATATATATATATATATATATATATATATATATATATATATATATATATATATATATATATTAGTGTTGCGCCGATGCCATTTTTTGGCCCCGATACTGATACCCGATACCTGGCTGTGCAGTATCGGCCAATACCGATACCATAATAATGTAAAATATTTGCCATCCTGGCGTTGTCAAGCTGCTGCCTAGCTTTGTGAAGCAGGAAAAATCTAATACAAAGTGAATCCAGTAGAACTTTTTATTGTCTACCAGGAGTGGGTGACAATAGTTGAATAAACTTATGGCTCTCAAAATGGTATCGGTGCCCTATTTGTTGGTACTCGCCGATACCGCTACCACCATTTTAGGGCAGTATTGGGGCCCCGTCCGATACTGGTATCGGTATCGGTGCAACACTAATATATATCTACAAAAAACCACACAAGATAATTTAATATAAATATATACACACACACATACACTATATTGCCAAAAGTATTTGCTCACCCATCCAAATTATTGGAATCAGGTGTTCCAATCACTTCCATGGCCACAGGTGTATAAATTCAAGCACCTAGGCATGCAGACTGTTTTTACAAACATTTGTGAAAGAATGGGTCGCTCTCAGGAGCTCAGTGAATTCCAGCGTGGAACTGTGATAGGATGCCACCTGTGCAACAAATCCAGTCGTGAAATTTCCTCGCTCCTAAATATTCCACAGTCAACTGTCATCTGTATTATAAGAAAATGGAAGTGTTTGGGAACGACAGCAACTCAGCCACGAAGTGGTAGGCCACGTAAACTGACGGAGCGGGGTCAGCGGATGCTGACGCGCATAGTGCGAAGAGGTCGCCAACTTTCTGCAGAGTCAATCACTACAGACCTCCAAACTTCATGTGGCCTTCAGATTAGCTCAAGAACAGTGCGCAGAGAGCTTCATGGAATGGGTTTCCATGGTCGAGCAGCTGCATCCAAGCCATACATCACCAAGTGCAATGCAAAGCGTCGGATGCGGTGGTGTAAAGCACGCCGCCACTGGACTCTAGAGCAGTGGAGACGCGTTCTCTGGAGTGACGAATCGCGCTTCTCCATCTGGCAATCTGATGGACGGGTCTGGGTTTGGCGGTTGCCAGGAGAACGGTACTTGTCTGACTGCATTGTGCCAAGTGTAAAGTTTGGTGGAGGGGGGATTATGGTGTGGGGTTGTTTTTCAGGAGCTGGGCTTGGCCCCTTAGTTCCAGTGAAAGGAACTCTGAATGCTTCAGCATACCAAGACATTTTGGACAATTCCATGCTCCCAACTTTGTGGGAACAGTTTGGAGCTGGCCCCTTCCTCTTCCAACATGACTGTGCACCAGTGCACAAAGCAAGGTCCATAAAGACATGGATGACAGAGTCTGGTGTGGATGAACTTGACTGGCCTGCACAGAGTCCTGACCTCAACCCGATAGAACACCTTTGGGATGAATTAGAGCGGAGACTGAGAGCCAGGCCTTCTCGTCCAACATCAGTGTGCGACCTCACAAATGCGCTTCTGGAAGAATGGTCAAAAATTCCCATAAACACACTCCTAAACCTTGTGGACAGCCTTCCCAGAAGAGTTGAAGCTGTTCTAGCTGCAAAGGGTGGACCGACGTCATATTGAACCCTATGGATTAGGAACGGGATGTCACTTAAGCTCATATGTGAGTCAAGGCAGGTGAGCAAATACTTTTGGCAATATAGTGTATATATATATATATATATATATATATATATATATATATATATATATATATATGTATAGCTATAAATCCAGATATAGTGATAGTGCAAAAAACAGTGCAAGGAATGAATAAAAGTCAATTTATTACTTTTATATAAATATTACATTTTTATATATATTATACTTTTGCACTTTAAGTAGTTTTTGGAGCACATATTTGTTTACTTTTTCTTAAATAAAGAGGTCAAGTTGATACTTCAACTTTTACCTGAGTTTTTTTAAACTGCAGAATCTATACTTCTACTTAAGTAAAAAATGTGTGTACTTTTGACACCAGTGGTTATCATTGACTTGAATCAAAAGTCTAAATCGTTGATTTCTTTTTGAAGAAACATGTAAAGTTCTTTCCAAACATGTAGAGTTTGAAAGCCTGATCCAAACATTTGTTTATTCAATGAGTTTAATAAAATCGTATTATCCGTATTATCAAATAGTTTAAATTTTAAATAAAGAATTAAAGAATAGGCATAGGGATGTCATTAAATCATTAAAGCATTTAGATTGAAGATTTCCTTAAATGGCTGTTTGCTAAATGACTGTAACTGGATCAGATTGTTCTGTGTGAATGGCTGCAGACAGAGTATATGGCTGGCCTGACTGTATGCATGTTGAATGCGTGACCTGGCCAAGGACTGGAGATGGAAAATAGCTGTATTTTCTTAAATGTATTCAAGTCCAGATAAGATTATAAATATTTGTAAATTATTATGTTGGCAATTTAGGTACAGATTGTATCAAAAAATCCACAAAACTCTGTGTACCAATTGGTCTGTCAAAAACTTTACATCTGTACACCTGAAGTATAGAAAGTGACACATATTCCCCCAAAGTTTGTGTTGAAAGAGAATTGCTTGGACATTTTGTTTCTTCTGTAACCATTAGAAAAGGGACTCTACTCTATTTAATAGGTGTCCATCTGTCAAGGACTTTTAAATTGAGCTAAATAAATTTGCCTTATGAATATGTAAGTAATCCACCAGAGGGCATAAGACAAATAGGATTCCTCTAAGCAGGTATTTTAGGAAAGTACCAACATTCAGAGATAGAAGTCTGACCCAGAAATGATTTGTGACATTAAAGGGTTTAGAATGTGTTTTTGTTTCTTGATTCTGGTGTCACCGATGTCCAGAGGTCAGATTGTTTAAAACTTCAAAAAATCAGTTGACACCACAGGTGTATACATGATTACCTGAATGGTTTGATGTTCTATGTTGCTTATTTTGCAAGAGGGAAATTGTAAATATTACGGGATCCTCTCAAGTGTTTACATTGTAATTTTTGTTATAGATTGTTTAAAAATGTTAAGGCGGGCCCGCATGTGATTAACTTTAACAGCTGCATTTTTCTACAGGTTTTAGTGAGGTGATGCTACTGCAAAAGGATAGTTTTTTGAAGCGTTTTTATACATCTTAATTAGAGGTACCAACACGTAGGGAAGGAAAAGTACATAATACACATGTTTTTGTGTTGAGTTCCATTTAGGCCGACTGTCAGCCCTGTCTGGGCCTTGGAATAGATAATATTAGATGGAGCCCCATTAATGGCCTTCTTTAACCGGTTTGGAAAGAAATCTACAACTACCATTTTTAGAGGCATCTTGTCAGCAACTTTTTTTCTTTTCTTTCCACTCCTACTTGTACCATACTCCTCTATAGTCGTTTAGTACTTTTGTCTACACCATACAAACATCTGTGCTAATAAAACCATTTTAATAGAATTTGATCGTTCATTTCCTCCATACAAACAAACCCAGCCACATAAAAGATCCCACCCCTGTTTTCTTGTGCTCAAAGCAGAGTGAAGCCGGAGTTGACACTTGAATTAATGTTTTTGTTTTGTTTTTCTTTTTATACAGCTTTGACTCTGTCCTCATCAGGGCTGGGTGTGTGTTGGATAAATCAGCTGTCCTCTGATGTTTGGCAGCTGTATTAAAAGGCCAGCAGCCTTGTTTGTAAAAGGCCGTGCATGCTCAATCATATTTCCTCGTGGAGCAAAAACTTATTTCCCTCTTTAGGACTTTCTCTCCGCAGCTCATTCCTTTTCATACTCCTAAGAACCCTTGGGGAGTCCGCAGCCGGTGAGGCCGAGACCGTTAATTCATTATTTTCTGTTTCTGAGCTCAGAAAGAGGAGAGGCTCTAGTTACCTTATGGATTGGGAGATTTATATATCATTTGGCTAGAAGGTGGAGAGCTTGTGTGGAGGGGCTGCTTGTTAACAGTGACCCTACCAAGTGGAAGGAAAAGGATAGTTTGCATTTCCTAAAGTGCTCACACATGCATTTAAGCACATGTGCAACAAGATACTTACTGTATGTGAGAGCTCCCACCTGGATACATGAGTGCTTAAACACTTCCAAGCACGCGGTCATGTCACACCTCTGAGATTACAGCTGCCTAGATGGACTGTTTTCACCATATTGTAATGAACTCTGTCATCCTGCTTTGAGTGTCTATGAAATCATTGTTCAAGCACTCTGTGTATATTGTCATTCAAAAATATGTGTAACCCTTGACCTTTTGCTCATTTCATCATGTTAGAACTACAAACTTTGTGTTTTTAAGACAGCATGAGGCTTCCCCTCACCAGCAATTGAAGAGCTGCTTGGGGTAAATGGATGCTCCTGGGAGCGATTCTGATGGAAGCTACAATTACCCTCTTTGTGTTTTGTCTATAGCATAAAGCCCCAGATAAAACACAATGAATTTTGTTGTTGAGGTCTGTTAATATTTTTGTAAGGCAATGATATGGTTGAGGTTCTTGAAAGGAGTGATCATGGGTGAACCTCTCAATTCTTCAAGTTGGGATTTGAACAATAACGTTGGCGAGGATCTTTTGAGATCAAACATCATATTCAGACTTTTCTGTAACCTAACAATGTATAAATTGATTTTATTAGAACCGCCAATTCCCATTTACATGAAACTTACAGTAAATAAGCAATAGAGTTGTTTGGTGGAAGTATCTCCTAACCCATAGAGATATGCCTTGAGATGGGTCCCAGGATAATACGAGCCATCTGACCTGAAATCTGGTAAAGAATAAGTTACAAAATCAGACCAGTATGAACTGCATTTAGCAGTGCAGGTATTAGTCAGGCACTCCACAAAGTGAGTGTGACAAGAACACAACCATTGCTTAAAATAAAAGTCCAAAGGAAAACATATTTGTTATCTGCCATGGTTTTTGTTCACTGGGAATAGAGAAATTAGTCAGATGGTATTAATAGAAATATACAACACTATTTAGGTTTTTATGCGTACAAAACAAGAAAAATCCTTGCTTCCACTTCATCCTTTTTTACAGCTTTATGTTTGTCTGTGGCGCAAAATACCAGTGAAATATAATATAGGTGTGTTGTTCTATTTCCATAAAATTTAGGTGTTAAGTTTTTTTTTCAATGATGTTGCATGTAAGAAAAATCCAAGTGTTGTGCTTTATAATTCCTCCTCCCATTCCCAACATTTCAACTGGCCCCTGTTACCGAAATTGTTTCCCCCATGAAGTTTGAGGTCATGCAGTCACACACCAGGAGATTTTGCCTCTTGGCCCCGGGCAAATTTTTACTTCTTCGTCTTCTACTCTCGGTTTTTGTTAGGAATCAGGTTTCTACTTTTTAAAAAACTGATGTCATGAACCCTGAACTCTCCACCAAATGTGAACCTTAGGACTGATGGAAAACTTTTCTCCCTGTTTCTAACTTCAGATCGGCCAGTTCTTTGGCGTCATTGACCCTGACCTTATGAGAGCTTTGGTCAACTCGTCACTGTTCACCGCAAAGAGCACCTATGACTACCAGTCTCTTTGTGAGCCCAAGAGAGAGAGCAAGGCGGCTGCAGGCCTGCGATCAATCTATGTAGTAAGTTACACAAGCCTGAGACCCAAAGTCCACACATCCATGTTCACACCTTTCAGTACTCATACATGTCGTTTTGCTCATTTAATTCCATAAAGAGATGATGGCAAGTGTTGCAATTTGAACCTATATCTGCCTGTTCACACACACATGCCATCACTCACCAGGGAGCCATATATCTAGATCTATAGATCTCTATAGCAGATGAGGGGATGTGTGCGGGAGTTCAGGAACATGGTGAAATTGTTTGAGTAGGAGTTGCTGTAACAGTAACAAGATTAGGTGGTCTAATGTGTTTGAGTAACACGTGGAGAATGGCAGAAACAAGTACTGCTTTACATCACAAAACGCACAAATCAGAGAGAAATGGAGCAGATTGTATCCAAGCACTATTTCTCTGGATGTTTTCAAGTTTTAGACAAACTGATACCCAGAAAATGGAACAAAAGTGTTCAAATATTAAAAAAATAAAAATAAAAAATCTGCATTTATCAATGGACAGATGAAAACATTTAAATTCCTGTCCTGAACTCAAACGTGTACAAACCACTTGATTGATCAGGATGGGATGAAAGCCTCCGGTAACCACTGTTCAAAGAACCCGTCAGCTGGCCAGTGATGCCTCTAACACGGTCGGTTTAAGAAGTCCTTGATGACTCAACCCGCCATTAACTGGAGTGCAGGAATACAGCGGCAACTCTCTTAAACAAGACCCTCACATGCTAGACCTAATCAAAGCAGCATGTTGGCTCTTTCACTTGAACCATTGGCTACTTTGTTTTCTTGCCGGTGCTTTGTTTGGATATTTATTCCTGCATCTGTTGAGGAGGACCGTGTTCTCATTTCCTCAGTGAAGAGAAGAAAATAAAAATCTTTGGCGGGGTCTGTTGGTATTTGTGCCTTGTAAATCTGAGCACTGTGCAGCCACTGTGAAAATAAACAGGATGTGCCTAGTATGATTTGCTAATCTCTTCATTCATTGTCGGATTTTTTGCATTTATTTTTGTGTCTTTTCTAGCCCACAATAGCCGATATATTAAACTTGGGATGGTGGGCAACAGCTGCAGCCTGGTGAGTCATTTTTAGTTTATTTTTTCTGAAATGGATGCAATTACATTCTTCCCAGTTTTTTTTTCTTAAAAATTTAAACATCTTATAGCCAACATTGTAAATCCTTCAGTCCAGTTTTTAATGAAAAGCAGGCAAGGATGTGTTCCTCCAAATGCTCGTACAGTATTGCATCTGTTTAATAGATAAATTGTTCCCAGGATGGTTAACATTCCACAAAATCTTCCGCTGATTTATGCTCAGTCCCACTGTCTTGATGTCATCACCAGCTTGTATTACAATATGTCCTGTAAAACTAAATTTGAAGGCCACAGACAGTGTGGCTATGTTCACCATCAGAGCTTACATTCAGATGTTTCCAATAAGAATACCATGCAGTCGAGCCTTTGAGTCACTCATGTTGCTAGTTTGTAGTTTTGATCTGATTTTTTTTTTTTTTTTTTGCACGGATCATTTTGAATGTGTATGAACAAGAATTTAATAAATGTTTATTTGATTTATGTATTTTAAAAACTATTTAAAACATATAATTTTTTTAACAGCAAAGCGAAACAGTTACATTTTTCTGTCCTGAAAGGAACCAACAGATTCTACCTTTTTCAGGTTTTTAGGGAGTTTTTCCTCTGGGAGCCCAGGACAATAAAAACTAGATGTTGCCTCATTTACCCTGGTACTGGGAACACAGAGCAAATCAATGTGTGATGACCTAAATGGTCTACATGGTTCTTATCTGACCACCAACTAAAATGTTTTAAGACCAAAGACAAAGATTTTTTGCAACAACAGGTAGTGCAGTAATTTGACAGCTAGTAATAGATGTTCTTTTCCTGTTGGGCTTTGGCCTCCTCCTTTGTCTCCTCTGCCAAGGAGGTTATGTTTTCAGGATTGTGTAAAGACACAATATAAGGCAAAATTTGCTTCTTGGAGGTGTGCTCCCTCTGAATGCTCTTCTAGTTTTTAACTGAGCTTTACAGACACCATTTCTATAATCTAACCATTTATTTCTTCCTTGTCTTGACAGGTATTTAATTATTCATACTTTTTGAAGCTGCTTTAGATGTATATTAACGCCTTAGATTTGGACTGTTTATTTTGTTTGTTCATGCTCTGTAGCATTTCATCTTGGATCTTGTTTATACCCTAGTTTAAGCCTTTGGAACGAAAACACTGACATTCTCTTTTACCTTATTATATATGCAATCAGTCCACATTGACTAAAGAAGACTGTGGGCATGCAGTAATAGAAATATGTTTTTTATAAGAATGGATATATGGAAGAGATTATGTATTGTTTATCTGAAATAAAGGGAGAGGCTAAATATTAAAATGTGATCCAAGAACAGAGCCTTGTGGAACCCCTATGTAATGTTTGTCTTATTTTAAATGTTTTACATCTTATACAAGTTCCTTACTTTTTCGTTTTAAATTTTTCTCTTCAACTCTTTCTTTAAAGGCATTTGGAAATTTAAAGTTGTTTTTGTTTATCTGAAGGACACTAAGGATGCTTATGCTTTAATTTCTACCTATGGTTTCATAATGAGGGCAAAGATTCTTGATTGCACCAAGAGAGGAAACTCGACCCTTTTCTAATATGTACTTTGGAGATGCTTTCGTTTTCCAGCAGAAGAAACTAAATGCTGGGTTGTTGTTTGTTGTCGGCCATAATGATCACAATGGACATAAATAAATGACTGAAATATATCCCACTGTTTGTTGGTGACCATTCTCAGTCAGGATCACCCTGTTTGTAATTAATCTATAAACCAGAGTATTTTTTTTTTATTAGTCACCCAAATAAGTCAAGTTGTTGATATCCTGCATAATTGAGATTCACATCTAATTGGTTCAGATTGGTTCATTGTTTAATTTTTTGTCTTTGAATGTTTTTTTGGATTTAGGTCAATTGTGCAACAGCTGCTGGTCAGCATCACACTCCCAAATGTTCTGGATGCAGGTGAGCAGCCTCTAATTTTAACCAAAGTAACATGTACTTATGATGCTGTAAACATTGTTCACAGTGCTGATGAACATTGTCAATCATCCAGGTCATAGGCATTTAAAAAAAGTGGAATTCCCATCCAGGAAGCTTTTTCAATTCAAAATGTCAGAAATAGCATTGAGTTCAAGGCTTTATACAGTAGCCCAACAAGGCCTTGTTATTATTTAGAAAACATGCAAATTGAAACGGAAAAACATGTCCACCCCTTTGGAATGGGGGTCGTTTGGCTTCCGTTGTTAGCCTGCAATGCCCCATACTTGTCTATGCCTCTGAAAGGGTTGTCATTAAAGGGAATTGTTGGCCTGGCTGAGTAGGTGAGGTCTTTTGTTCCCCTGTAAAGGGGAAGGGATCAACTCAATTGCTGCATTGTAGGTTTTTGAAAGCTGAAATGTGAGTCCAACCCCTCTAAGGTTGTTTTTTCTTTCTTAACATAGATGGCTTCCTTCATGCCCCTCTCAAATCACCTATTTTCTTTGTCCAAAATGTGAACATTTTGGTCCTCAAAAGGATGACCTTTGTCCATAAGGTATAGATGTACCACAGTCTCTTCCCGAGGAGGTTGCTCTCTTGTGTTGGGCCATGCGTCTGTGGAGAGATTGTTTGGTTTCTCTAATATAAAGAGAGAGCATTCCTCACTGCATTGAACTGCATAAACCAGTCTGCTCATATTTGGTCTGGGGGGTTTGTCCTTAGGATGCACTAGTCTCTGTTTAAGGGACTAGGCTGATTTGAAATGTACTGGGATTTTGTGTTTGGAGTTTTTCAGATACTCCAGCAACATATGGGATGGTGATGTTTTTTGCATTTAATGTTCTCACTGTTATCTTCTGCTGCGTTTCTTTTGGATTCTGTTGCTGATTTGACAAACGCCTAGTTTGGGTTTGAAGAGCATCTATGATGTGTTTCTGTTCTTTATGCTTCCCTTCATGCTCAGGCCCGGTGTTATAAGGTTCTGATGGCAGAAAGTTTGTGTTCCAGTGGGTGGTGTGAGTCAAAAAGAAGATATTGGTCTGTGTCAGTGGATTTTCCATACACTTCAATGTTGAGGTTTTCATCTCCTTCCATGCTCACCAAACAGTTCAGAAAAGGTAGCTTGTTGATATTGGCATCCTCTCTGGTGAACTTGATGTTGTGGTCAACTGACTTGCTGTGTCTTGTGAAAGCTTCAGCTTCTTTTAGCTGGATTCTGATGAATGTGTCATCCACATATTTAAACCAATGGTTTGGTGGTGTTCCTCTGAATGTGTCTAAAGTACTCTTTTCCATTTCTTCCATTTAAAGATCGGCTACAATTGGTGACACTGGAGATCCCATGGCACAACCATGCCTCTGTCTGTAAAAATGATCCCTGAACTTGAAATAGGTTGTGGAAAGACAAAGGCCCAGTAGGGTGCAGATTTGGTCCGGAGTGAAATTAGTCCTGTTGTTTAGGTCACTGTCTTGTTGAAGACGTTTCCTGACCGTTTCCACTGCTTTTGATATAGGTATGTGTGAAAAGAGAAGTAACATCAAAATATACCAGGGTTTCTCCTGGCACCATCTTTAAATGTTTGACTTTGTTTGCAAAGTCTTTGGAGTTGCCCATGTGATGTGGTACTGTGATACTTATTCACATTATTACTTAAACTTTCTGGTTTATTGAAAAAGCTGGAAGCTCTCAGTCAGACTGTGGCACAAGTTTCTTAAAATAGTCAAACCACCATCTTGTGGAAAAAAGTACTAATAGGCTTGAAGACTTTTTTTATATATATTTGGCAAAGGTAAAACTGTGTAGAAACAATTGAGCCTTTTTCTTTTGAGAAATTCAGATGTTGCACATGTGAACCAGACACATTGGCTGCTGAATTTCTGTGTATCTCCTGTGGATACAAATGAAGTATTGGAAACAAAAGATCACAGGCGGCTTAAAAACAAAACCCCAAAAAGAGACTTTCTGTTTTGTGATGGGGATCCTCTCTTATTGGATTCATTCTTCTCTTACTATATGCATGTTTTGGATTAAATAAATGTTTGAAATGTCTGAATTTGAGGTTGCTGTTGCCACTTAAAATAAGTGTCTTGACAAGATTTTATAGGAAGATAATGTCAGTTTTTGAATAAGTGCATACTTTTTTATGGTAAATATTCTGTTTAGTTTTGTAAACATTTTGTATTAAAAATGTGGCTACTTCTACTACCTAGAAATTAAAATCTCTAAAGTAATGATTCTAAATGTTAAAGAATGTCTACAATTACACAGATTTATGTGAAGGCTTTTTGCAAATCTTTCTATCAGGTGTCCCATAAATTTGTCTGCATCTGGAAATTTATATTATTGCTGCTGTATTTGTGTCCTAATTTTTCCTCCATTAGGCAGAATCATCCAGAGGTTTCTGGCTTCTTAAAATGGGAGTTGGGATTAAAATTATCTGGACACATTTGTTTACTTGGTGGTTGTATTTAAGCATATGGCTGATGAAGTGTGACCTGAATATACTTTCATATCCCCCTACAGCTGAGATGGATGACACAGAGTCTGATGCAATGACTAAGGAGGTGTGCATTACAGAGCAAACTCAGTACTTCTATGAAAACAAGGATTCATCTTTTGAAGGGTCATTTGAGTGTGCAAACTCCACCAGGTAAAGTTTCCCTTAAGGCCATCCTAACTTGTCTTCTCTTGTGTATTCCCTCTCAGTGAAAATCTAAAAAATAAAATTATTGTGGTTGAATTAGCTTTTCCCCAAATATTAGTATGTTGCCTTGTGAAAGTAAGACTTCTTTATTTTTTGTCTAAAGTAAACCTGTAGAGAGTGCGTGTAGCTTTACTCTGATTACCCTAAAGTAGCTAGTTCCTTTCAGCAGTCAACCAGTTTTAATCTCAGTAAAAATGCATCTGTTCTGAGGAAGTTCTTGTTAAATACAACAAGCAATGAGACAAACAGCACCCTGAGTTTTTTTAAGTTGAAATAAGGTTATAACATCACAATCCTGAAACCACTGTTCTATCCATCATCCAAAAATGGAAAGAGTATGTCGTATTTGCAAACCTGTCAAGACTGACAGTAGTAATTCAAATTTACTGACAGGTGGATTAGAGCATTAAAAAGTTGATTAAAGTACCCATTCTTGAAAATAATTAATATGGCTATGGTTAGTCCAGAGGAGCTGCAGAGATCGAATTTTTGGATGCAAAACACTTTTGAAGTTTTTGAAATCCCTTACAACTGATTGTAAGGGCTTTCACAAGGCTGGCCTTGATAAAAGGGTAGAAAGGTTAAATATTTTATTCAAAGAAAGTGAAAGCAGTTTATTGCTAGATGTGAATAATGTTCTAGCAACTTTGGTGGTCAATGCAAAATGTTGAGCATGATGGAAATCTCTGTCGTCATACGTTATTGGAAGATTCATTGCTATCAGGTAAACTGGACAATGACCTCAAACATAGAGCCAAAGCTCCAAAGGTAAGCTTTAAAGAAACAAAACTTAGGGTGAAACGTCATCCTAGAGTCTTTTACCCATTTAGCCATTTACCTATTTTACCCATATTTCAACTTCCTTATTTTCCTGCGTCTGAAGTCAACAAACCTTTCTTTTGTTTTTCCTGTCCTCTTTTTTTCTAGGCAATACCTTGCTGAAAAGGTGCCCAACACAAACCTGGTCTTTATCATAAGTGACAGACAACAAGGTGACAGCCAGTCATTTTGCACGCCCAAGTTAGTACAGGAAGAACAGGCATGTATCCTTTTACAAAAACTTTATTTCCATGTGACTGTATGCGTTCGAGATCTTTGATAAATGAATTAAAGTCAGATTTTGTAAAGACATCATGTTGAGTCGCTGTTATAGATATACAGATTCAGTAACCATAATAAAGAACAATAATATCCACCATAAGTGACTATAACAAATTGGTACAGACTTCCTGTTTTTCTGCTTTGTGTCTCTGTGTCTGTATCACACATGGCTGTGTGAGATCAGTCTGCAGAGTAGCTGACAAACAAATCTAAGATGTTCTTTCAAACACACAAGCCTGCAGTCAATTATAGGAGGAGTTTCTTGGAAAACCAATAGAGTTGAAAAAGACTGCCACGTCATGGAGGTATTGAGCAATCTGCTTGAGATCCATATTTTAAATATTTAATGTTGTCTTTTACGTTATTGAGCTTTAGTGATCTTCTGTAATCAGAGCTTTCCATACGAAGATATTTGGTTATGGTTTCCTATTTGACTGTCCTAGCTGATGGGCCGGATGCCTGCGAAATGGCTCTCAGACCTCGCCACAGGAAAGGCCCTATGAATTGTTTTGATCAAACCGAGCACGTAAGTTGCTTTAATTATACATTAATCATCTTTCTATTTGGGTAATTTAGTTTTTTTTTTTTTTTACTTCTATGGTATTGATTTGTCTACATTTCCCCCACAAATAATTGCCAAGAAAAAAAAAAAAAAAAACCTCTTAAAAAATGATTTTAAAAAATGGCATAAGGTGATTTGTTTTTTGTTTTTGTTTTTTCATATTTTTATAGGTGTGCGTCCTTACTTTAATGGCACACATTTTAGAATAGTTTAAACAGCAGTGGTCTGTAAATGGTGGGTTTATAGCTGTCTGATGCTGCAGGAAATGGGACAGATGAGAGCAGTTAAGGTGAATCAAGGTCCATAGTAAGTTGTAAGCTGTTGAAAGATGCTAGAACTTGCCACATAGTTAAGTGACTGAGCAGATTCTGGTGATGACTCCCATTGGGTATTTATGCATTTCCCCAGTTTCAAATTGCATGATGTATTATTATCCATATTTCCCAAAAAAATTCCAGAATTTTGAATCCCCTGATGAGAAAATCGTCATAAAATATTTTTGGAATTTCTGACTTTATCATCATCATCTACAGTAAATGCACTTATCCATCAATCCCATAGCTAGATAGACACAAACTGAACATATTATCCATTGAGCACTTAATCCAGCCATAGTTTGATGCATAACTTGTGAATCCATCCAAACATCCATCATGTATGTTTGAGCAGCCATTCTGGAATATATAAATGTTAATGTAACTCAAATTAAAACATTGTTGAAGTTTAATTGACTCAAAACACTACATATATTTATCACTCATATAGTATTTTCAAGCCATGCTTTTCTGTAAGAATTTGGTGATTTCCTGCTCCCAACTAATGAAAACAATAGATATTAAAATATTACATCAAACAAATCAAAAACATTTTGAAACAGAGTTGTGGCCTTAATAATAGGCATGTTTACCTGCTTAAGGGTTGTTAATTATGAAAAAGTACTTTTATTCTGATTAACAGGCCTCATCAGGGTATATGAGTATGTAAATCTTTCCTAAGAAATCTTTAGAATGGCTGATGTATGCTAATATATGCACTGCTTAAAATAAAGGGAACATGTAAACATTTAAGTCTCTTGGAAAAAAGGGAAATTCACTTTTTATTATGGAAATAACAGCAGATCATTGAAGGATAATAACCCTGGCACTTTTCTGTTGCTAAAATCCTCACCTGTTGCATGTCACACTTCTATTTCTATTCTTATTTTTGTTTACCTGAAGCGAAGTGGATGAAGGTTTCCCATGCAGAGATAAATAGTCGGATGTTCTAAAAACAAATGAATAATGAAGCAATACAAGCATTTTTGTGAGCTGACCATAATCTGTTTGTGAAACCTCAAAGCTCAAGTGGTATTTATCTGGATCTAAGTCTCTCTTTTTTTCTTTTTTTTTTAGTCTGTCAATTTTTTGTCTCACTAATGACCTCCTAAGCCTGCTCAGTCTCTTTCATTCACACAAGTGAAAACACTCACCCACTCACTAACTCTTATTGCCTCTTAATTGAATGCATCTGACTTTTTTTGTATACTTTCACTAAAGCAAAGTGTTCTGCTTACGTTTGATTTCTAACTGTGTTGACCTTTTGCTGCATGACTCTCTTTCTCTGTTTTCTCTCTGTCTTGCCTTGTGATTGTCTGTTGATGGTTAGGATGAGGCCATGTGCCGAAGGAGCGCTGGCTCCCCATTGGCTTCCTCTCTGCTCATGTTACTGCTGCCGCTGTTCATGTGCTGTCTCGGGTCAGTCGCATAAAGCAAGTTCTCTGTCTCCTGAACATATCATTATGTTCCTTAACTGAACCTAATAGTCTTTTTATTCTATCTCTTGTAGTCTTGTTTTTGTCCTTGTTTGTTTTTGCTCACTTTATATCTTGTAGATTTTTTTGAAATATCTGTTTTGCTCCCTTTTTCCATTGTTTTCCCACAGTTGTCCTCATCGCCTGTCACTCGCTTAAATTTTACTACTGCCTCACTTCACCTCCCTGTCTCTGTCTGTCTCTCCTCAATGTATTCTCCATCTCACCTGACTTTGAACTGTCAGCCATGATCTTTGTAGCTTTCCTCATCTATCATTTTCCGTCTCTCGGTACAGAGTCTCCTATGGCTCTTGTGGCTCCTAATGTATCCAGGCACTTAAAAAAACAGATCACTCTCTTCTCATTTGCAGATTTTCATGTGTCTCTTTTAAGGTTTCTCAACCGTCGATACATTTGCCAAAAAAAAATCAGAACTTTCCTTAATTTGCTTCCCACATGTACACATCAAGCTTTTTTCATTGTCTTGCAAAAGTATTTAAATATAGTATTTACAAAAGTATTTGATCTGGCTGCATGGTTTATATCTTTATTCTAAAAAGCTACCAAATGTTTTTTTAAAAACCAATGATAAAAATGTCAGAACCCACTGGAGGAGAGGACATGTCTGCATGCATCTAGACTTCAGAAGGAGGAATTTGAACAGGTTTTTTAATGCTCAGTACATTTTGTCTCAGGTAGGTGCAACTAAATGACAGTATTTATTTTATATGTTTTTATTTAAGTTAATTTAAACTGCTCTCAGTTGTGAATTGTTACCTTGGTCACTACACCAATGGCCCTCTTTTCTCTATCAATAACAAATCTACTAAATCTGAATGTTCTGCAGCTTTTTTCTGTTGCGACTTGTGGACTGATTTCTTGAAGAAATGTCCCACTTGCCATCAATTTAAAATATGCTGAGTTGAATCCAGTGTCTTGAATTGAAAAATGTATTAATGAAAAACAAGAAATGATTATCCATATTTATTTTATTTCGTATCTTAAATAAATGAGGCTTATCTTTACTTTTTGCCACCAATTCCTTTTAAACCGTTGTAGGTGAAACATATGAGGACCACATAGTTAAACGTCTTTAGAAAAGTCTTAACAAATATGTCTAATCATCTCTAAAATTGCCTGAAAACCTTTATGTAAATCACAGGCTTGCATATGATGTCAGAGGAAGTATCTTAGATTATCATTGCGGCTTCCTGAAGTTAGTTACGCAAGATTGCAGTATCATTTAGCTGCCACAGGGTGCGCTGTTGTTACTAAAACCTCTTCATTTGTTTGAAAAATCTGGAAATTGGTGAACTCATGACTGCTCCAAAAAATCAATAAAGTTAAGGGTTTTGAAAATAATTTTTAAGATTAGACAAATTTATGTGTAAATAATGTATTAGATTAATCTGCAAATTCATTAAAGCAAATTATTTAAGTCGGAGCAATAAAGGAATACCGAGCAAATCCAATTTTAAGGGTATCGTAGCTCATGCATCTACGTAAAAAACTTTATGAATGATTAGCCACAAAAAAATCCAATAAAGCTGGCAACTTTTATATATACAATAAAAATATATATTTATATATACAATAAAAAACATTTTGTTATAAGACACCATTATATTTTTTGTATAACTAACTTATATCTGCTTTAGAGGTCATTTTTGCCTTTTTTTGTCAATAAATTTGTTTTTGGTAAAGAGGAGAATTAAATTACATATTTATAGTCTTGTAAATTGACAAAAAAAAAGAAAATGCATAAGCATGGCTTGCTATTGAACTGACCTGCAGTTAAATTGTCTTTAGGCTGCAATCACATCTTAAACTTTTTTTTAACAGCTGTAAAACTTAAGCCTAGTTAACAATGATAACCTGAATACCATTGAAATGTATGTATTTGCTTCCAATGGCTTGATGAGTTGTCTATCCATTTTAAAGGTCAATTGAATATTTAGTTTAGTATTACTAAAAGTGCAAAGTTTGTTACCTGATAGTTTGAGCTTAAGTTCACCCACTTCAAGTTCTAAAAATTGGTCTTTAATTACTTTTTTTTTTTCCCAGGAGGAGGACCTTGACTGTGGCGGGGCATCCAGCCTGAATCCGTCGATTTGGCTGATGGCGATCATTCAGGTGGTTTTACTCTGGGTCGCGACCGACTCCAGGCACCATGCCATCCCATCATGACCTCAAAGAAAAGATCCAGCCCAATATGTCTGCTCTCTCCAGATGGACACGGCTACCAGCATCCAGAGCTGCCACCCAAAGGACACGACGAAAGGCGCTCCAAACAAAAGACAGTCTGAATTTATTTATTATTCATGGTTTTCTAAAAGCGTCATCATTTCGGGGGGGTGAAATAAAGCATTGTTTGTTGATAAAGGTTAAAATAATTTCACTCCTGACTGTCTTTTTTTCTTAAGCTGAAAAAAAACCACAAATTGATTTTGATAACCAACTTTTTAACTCCATCTTTTTACGTTGTCCCCCTGAAAGATGTCGGACTGCTTTAAAGTGTCAAACATGGCCTACATTGCGAGTAGACGGCTTGTTTATTGCGTATACTGAGCAGTTTTTTCACCACTGCCAAGAAAAAAAAAAGTCTACCCTTTGCAAGAGTAAAATTTCTTTAGAAATTAATTTAAAGTGCTTGTTTAGTTATTCTTTCTTCAGTTTCAGTTGGATTTTTTGTAATAAAAGCAAAGTTTTAAGAGAACACTACATTCTTATAGCATCCATCACAAAAGTCTTTAGTTTTTACTGACATATTCTGCTCAAAGATTGGAAACCATGTCCTTTGCAATGTTTGTTTACAAAACCCAACTCTTCTACTGCCACACAGCACTTCGTAATGGGTGTGAGTTTTTCGATTTAAAGCTGGTTTTTGGTCTTCGCTCAGGAGTTGCTTGAATTTTCCACCTTGATATTTTTTTCTTTTGACTTAAGGATTGCTCCAGGGTAAACGTGTTGCCATAGTGCACATTAACCAATCTGGACAATTAGTATTAGGTCCTCTGTGGCTCAGTTGGCAAAATTTCTAGTGCCATCTAGACTGTGTGACTCTAATCCTCTGTAGACTGTAGCTGCTAAATGGTGTGTACTGTTAAATATAATAATTTGTTTATTGGTTGAGTGAAGTGTCTGTTCAGGATTTGTTTAACAATAGCATTTATATTTTTCACCGTCACTTCTTAAATGAAATTAATATCTGCACTGAAATTTAAAATACAGCCCAGTTTTACAAACCCTAGGCCCTCTTGTCTTCCTTAATTGAAGACATAAAATGTTGATTGTTTTTAATATTTACATGCGCATGAATGACAAGATAGAACAAGGTATTTACTTTCACTATAACTACCAGTTATAGCAATTGGTCAATTTAATAAATAAGATTTGTGTTGTACACTTTTTTTTTTCACTTTTTTTATAGTCAAGGTACATATATTCCACATTCTTAACTATTCTATTGACTCTTAATTCTTTAAGAGGGAGCTGATGTTATTTGGTAAATCATTGTTGTTTTTTTGCCTTGTATTTGCATTATTTACGCACACTGCAAAGGTATTCATAAGCTTTGAAATTTTTTTTTTTTTTTATGTCACATTACAGATACATGCTTCCACGTTTTGGGAAGATCTCATGTGATTTCCCAGCACAAAGTAACACATGATGCAAAAATGTGGCATGCATGTTTATTTAGCACCTTAAAGTCTATACTTTATAGAACCATGTTTTGCTGCAGCCATGTTGTGAGAAATTATTTCACGCCTACACTGCTCGTCCTTTACTTTTTCCTTTTGCCTCCATCATTCTTCGCATTAATTCTAATCCGTTTTTCTTATATTTACTGGAAAAGAAGCTTTTTCACATCGTTATGCCACCACCACCATGTTTCATAGTAAGGTTGATGTCATATTGAGATTTAAAGTGCTTTCTGTACGAAGATAGACTATATGTACTAAAAGTGTTGCACTGGATTTAATTTACGGGTATCGGAGTAGTGTTCTGAACAAAGAACACTACTCCATTTTTTGGAATCTTTTTCCTCCCTCTTCAGTTACACGCTACATTATATTAGTATATCGCATACCTCCCTAATGTAATGCATAGATGTATGTGATTTTATTAGAAATTGTAAAAAAAAAAAATCAAGGACTATGAATACTTTTTCAAGTTGCTATATGCAATATATATTTAAAGAAAACATGTATATGGATTTAGGTTTCACTGTAAACAAAAGTGGGATTTGTTTTATTTATTTAAGCTTTTGTTATCTCATGAATCCACTTACTCGTCGAAGCACTGTTTCAAAAACAAAGTAAATCTATCAGTTTCTTGGACAAGAACAAAATAAACATCAATGTTTGCAAGCCACACAGTGAATCAAGCTCCCTGAAAGTCTGAACATGTTGGAAATTACTTTAATTTATGTCTTTGTTGAGAACTTGGGTCACATTTTATAGCCAAAACCATCTTATTACGATTGGTTACAAATGCAAGAAAGTTATTTTTCATGTTCTTTGTGAGTATGTCATCAGTTCAATTAAGTGGCAGTTAAATATAAGATGATTATCCACCTTTGTGTAATTCTCTTTAGTGCCTGATGCCTATAAATTAACCAAGCCAGTGTGTTTGTTTGGAAATGCTGCCTTCTGTGATTACTCACATCAGATATTTCATTGGGAAACGTTTGCTTACAAATCAGGAAATCCACAATGAAAAAAAAAAGGATGCCACTTGAAACCAATCCTGGGTGTTTGTGGGATCTGATCCTGACACTGTAACCATTTTAGGGACATCTTAAAAAAATGTTTAGATAATTTTCATTGCTTCATAATTAACTCCAACCACCTCCTGGTTTCATTTCTGTGGCTGAAAACATTTTTCAGCTGCATTTAATGTCAACAGAAGATTAGTGGGTTTTGTGGTATAATGACGAAAACTAACATAATCACCAATTTCCAAGCTGTTTGAGGTGCACTGTTTATGCTTATGGTATTCTCTGTATCTTTAGACTAACAAGAACAGCAAGTCTCTACACTCCTCTTTAGTGACTATCAAGAAGTGCCAAATTGTTAAACTTGTATGGAGAAACCCATTATATAATGTATAAAAATGTTACCAAGCACGACTCAAGTTCCTGCAATTATACTCCTGTGCTGCATGGAGATGGCTGATAAGATATTCATTGTGCTTCTGCTTTTTCATATGTGTAACCTTGGAACGCATATCATTGTTGTTGAGCATTTGTCCACTGTGTAACAACATATAATCAGCGAATACTGCCGTCGTCTTGGGAGACAGCATTTGGCTTTACTGCAGACAGAAAACCTGATGAGCAAGAAGTTGACATGCATTGTTAAATTTAACTGGCTCACATCTTCCATGTTTTTTAGATCATACCAGTGATTTAGCCCATATTCTACAAATTGATCATTTTCTGCAGTATTGATCAATTACTTTTCAGCTGTGTTTGCAGATGGAATTAAGATGCAGGCATCATAAGGATCCAATTTTAATTTCTTAAAGTTGATAGTTTTATCTGATGGGCCCCAAATTGTTTTCTTTGTCTGTTGAGACTTTGACTAATACTGCCAGATAAAGGCTTTTCTTTTTTTATGGTAACATATTAGCATACACTTTCTAACACTCCACATTAGCTATCATGTTCAACAATACCAACATCAAATAATTTATATGAAAGATTCATTTTAAGCTTTCTGTTAATCCACTTGAACATCATGCACAAACATTTTTTAGCCTTCAGGGAATAGCAGTTTTGCTTTGAGTTTAAAATCTGTCTGTGAGCTATTTTCATTGTTCCAAATAGAGGCAGCACGTAAAAACAAACTAAACTCGTTGTGAGATACTGCACATTTGACTGCAAAGTTTAAACATGAAGAAAAATATATTGTTTTATATTTTGTTTTATGTTACACAATGCTTAAAGCTTAAGCATTTATTCTAATATTAGACTGTATTATTGTATCTTAACACTCTGTTGCACAGAGTTGAATATCTTGCATCTGCTGTAAGAGCCTGGTACAACCTAACCGGAAATAGCAGAAGTCCTGTGTTACTTTTTTAGGTCTGTATCAATCTACCAAATTTAATGGTAAATTATTTTGCTTACAGCAATATCAGTGACAGATCTGGTTACCAATGTTGAAAGTCCTTCTTTTGAAAACAAATATAGTTGTAATAAAGGAACATTGACTCATAAAAACACAATTTTCACTTTTCCTAAATAGCTCTGTTTTAGTTATCATTTTAAAATCAATGTATGCAGCTGTCTTATATAGACTGTTTCCTTTCTACCAAAGATGTTCTAGTTCCAGTAGGAGTGTGTGCTCAGTCCTGCCTTATTGCTATTGGAAAATAGCCTGCTTGAGTAATACAGATAATGAAAAAGTGGGCTGATTATCGGTGAACTTTACTTATCCTGTTGCCCATTTCATTAATCACACCACTTCACAAAGAAGGAAGCTTTCTGGAGACTGCAGCATAGATTAATCGGTGAAACAACAAACTACAGATGTCTTGAACAGGATTCCTGTTAGGGTCCCAAATCTCTGTCGGGGTATTTGCAGATAGTGAGGCTTAAACTTGATGACATGGCAATAAATATACCCAACACTTAAAGGTATAGTGGAGGATTTTGAAGAATTTTTGAAAAGGCCCGCCCTCTCCTCTTTCAAAAAGAAATGCACATGCACAACTCTGTGACCGCTTCCGAGGGAACGCCTATTAGACTCGTGCGAGAGCTTGCACAAGCCCATTTCTCCTTGTGCACGCTGTGTTTAAGTTTCTGTTTGCATCACTCATACAGGTACAAGCTTATTTTCCAAAAGGTGATTTGCAAATTTTCCACTATATCAGACTCACCACCGGTAAGTGAAAATGGGGACGAGCTCGTAGGACGGCCTTACGTAAACATATCACCAGAATGATTGGCAGTTAGGTGGACCTTTTATTTAGATGATCCACCAGGAAAAAGAACATCCTCCACTACACCTTTAAGTAAAGGGAAGCACCACACATCAGTCTACATAAACTAGATTAGTGTTGTGATTGTTTCCAAATTACATTGACATGGGCATGCTTCGTAACATCTAACTCTACAGACTTCAATTAACTGATCCTGCATGCTGGGTAATCTGTTGAAACACCAGGTTAAAGGTAGCATGTTTTCTCTCTTGATGACTTTTTGATAATGCAGCCTTTAACATGTTAGTGCTGATGCAGTTAACCATGTCCTGACAATTATGAAGAATTTTTTTATTCTGCTTTGTAAACTTTGACCTTTTCTCTGAACCACATAAAATGTGTATGCTTTTTCCTGCATTCTATGTTCTCTCTGGAGAACATTTTCATGCAAACAATTACTGCTAGGAATTTAGATTTAAAAAATCCAAACAAATGGCCTGAAAACTTAAATAGTGGTCAGGTCATGCACAAAAACTACTTGGAGGGATTGAGCGCTCAAAACTGCAAGTACAGTTTATTATTGTTTAACACCTCAACTCCTAATCAGATTAGGATTTACATTTAGCTTCAGATGCATTTTGGAAATGTTGTTATCCTAATCTAGCATTAAGCCACAAGATCTGATAAACTTTCCTAAAAAACACCATGTTGTTTTTATTACTTTTAATTAAGTACGTGCATAAAAATCAAAACAAGTCCCCCACAAAAAAATCAGTTTATACTGTTGCAATTAAAATTCAGTACATCTAATTTAAGCCAAGTTTTGTGAGCTGTAGATTTTGGGCTAAGAATGCTGGTATGGTCAGGAAAGTTAGTTTCATCAAAGAAACACTGTGCATATTAAAGCTGATCAATATGAACAAGAGCAGAGACAACCGCCCTATTTGTCCAGATGTTCCATTCTGCTCCAAGTGTTAAAATCAGATGCTGTCACCTCAGGAATAATATAGACTGTGTGGTATAAAGTATGTCTGATTCTGTTGGTGCTCTCGATACAGATCGTGTCGGTTGTCCCTCTGGAATTTTGATGATTGCTTTGTGATTTTTTTTTTCTTTTTTAATATATATATATTTCACTGCTCTCTTAGGGCAGATTGTCTGTGGATGGAAACGTAATGTCACACCAAACTGTTAAAGCTGTAGTCTTGGTGGGCTGAGACTCCCTCAATAGTTTTTTTCCGTTGTGGAGCTTGTTTAGAAAATAAGAAAAGTTCTAAGCTTTAAATCAAATAAACAAAAAGGAAGAGATTTAACAAAGGTGTTTGCTAATGTCAAATAAGGTATATTCATAATAAAAATGTTACCATTACTCTGTTATGTTTATACTTGAAGTTTGTACCTACCCATGTGCGTGATTGTGTCCACAGCAGATGTTTTTATGTATGTTTGTAAGCCTGCACAATTTTCAGTAGTTGGCTCCTTTAATGTTTAATTTAAAGCTAACAATTCAGCAGCCAGCAGTTTCTTAAGAAGGCGGCACACTGAATTTTACAAGGAATTTAGCTCAAGTCCGTTAGCAACGACCTGTAAATTTACAGTAATTCCTGTTTTCCAGCTGTTTGTTGATCAAATAGTGACCGTTAACACAGTTCACACGTGTATCTGAAACCAGCTGTGCTAAAGTTTGCAAGGCTTCAGCTTTTCACTGCCCCCAATTGAAAAACCATTCTCTAGTTTTGCTCTTTCCTACAAACATAAAATGTACCCTAGTTCACAAGGATAACCAGAAATGAAGTTGCTTTGGGACATTTTGAATGAGACCAGTTTTGATGTCATTAGCTTTTATTTTAATGAAAAGGTTCTTTCTTTCCAGTAGCCCGGAGCTGAATGACTGCTCTGGGACCAATGATTTAAAATTACAGTATCTTGTAAAAAATGTCATACCCCTTGAAATGTTTTCACATTTTTTCACTTTCTAAGTACAGACTTTATACAATGTGTTTTAACAGGGTTCATTTTAGATGGATTCAATAATAGATAATATGAAGTAGAACCTAAATGGTACATGGATTAGGTAACTAAAAATATATATTTTTTTGATAGATTTATATTCATTAAGAGCTGTTGAAGACATCATGGAAAAAGGACACCATCCTAAAGTTTAGCAGCTGCAGCTGAAAAGGCGCTCTCTCCTCTAGTTGTGAGTAAAGTTCAAGTATTTCAAATCTCAGAGCCCTACAAGATTAAATATATATACTCAGAAAAATAAAGTGGAACCAAATCATTTTACAGCTAAAAACAAATAGTAATATTTTGTGACATTTCCTAAACAGAAAAAAAAACTTACCCAAAAAAAAAAAAAGAATGCAAAATTGGAATAATGTGCTCAAATCTTCTTGTTTCTGTTATTAGGCTTGTTAGGATAATTATCATCGATGGTGTGTGAGTTTATTACACCTTAATATTAGCTGCCTGATGCGTGTCAGAACTGAGGTTTTCTCAAGTAGCTTATCTAATTAAGAAGGTTTCTCTGTTCAGATATACAGTTAATCTTCATTCTGTAGGTGGCAAATGTTTTGGAGTGAGAGCGGTGTCTTTCAGCTAAGAACAAAGTGTAATATTTTGATAAGGCTACAATTTCTATCAAAATCTGTTGTCATGTCTCATGGTTATTTAATACATATAAGTTATGAAGTGTTATTTAAAGAGTTTGTCCCCAGTGATCTCTTTTCAGGAAAACGAACCGGAGAGAAAAAGCTTCCCAGTGTACAGAGAGCTTTATTCAACAGTCTTTAAGCTGAATTTTGAACCAGCTGGAGAA